TACATGGCTCCTCCCATAATTTTTCTTGGAGCCCAACAAAACACCCACAGCGTACAGTAACTCTGAAAATTCCTCTCAAACCTTTAAACCCCAGCATCTACATGTAACTTCTCCTTACAGTTCCAGTTTATCTTGCAAACAGGTTATGAAAACAGACAAGCTTATAAGTTAGAGGGTGTTGACTTGTTGTAACACCACATTCTCCAATCTAATTAACAAGGAAATGCAAGGGAGTTAGGAGGGAGAATTGCTCACTGGATCTTGGGGTTAAAGAGTTAAAATTAGCTCACAACCACAATACTCTGAAAATAAACAGAATGCCTACCAGCAGTTAACAGCATGTTGACACAATCTGTTAGGCCTTCCTGGGAAGCAATAAACAATGGCGATGCCTTATCTACAGTCAATAAACTGATATCTGCCCCCTCTTTTAGTAGTAGCTTTAAGCAAGCCTTATGTCCATATTGAGCAGCAGTGAACAAAGGTGTGGCACAATCACTGTTTTGTATGTTAATGTCTGCTGCAAATGAGAGAAGTATTTCAATGAAGTCTTCACGACCAGCAAATGCTGCTTCATGTAAAGCACTCCATCCTCCAACATCCTGACTGTTTACATCTAAACTGCATTCCAAGAAAATCTGAGAAGAACCAAAATGAGAAAACAAAGAGGTTACAGATTAATAAATTCATGAATACCATCTTTACCAAAAATGTTAGAGGCAGTATGGTAATTTCACTCACAATGTCAAGTATGAAAGGGTTTTAAAAAAGTAGCTTGTTCCAGGCATTCAGCAATTTAATTATGGTGATTGCACTGAGTGGAGTGCAGTTTGGACTGAAATAAAACACATTATTTCAAAATCAAACAGGCATGCAGGGCAAGTTTGATTTGAAATCAAAAGTATGAAATTAGACCAAAATTTCACGACACAAAGTTAAATTTCCATTCTATTACATCTATTTTAAAATAAAAAATGTAGCCCGTTAATAAAAAAAAGTTTTTCAGTCTATACAGGTATTTTCATGATTTAAAGTATATTGAGCTTGTTTGTAAAAAGTTGTAAAAGTTGTCTCTTACTTTCCTGCAATTTGATTGACTTCTCTCAACAAGCCTTGAAGTTTGATTGGTCATTGTGTTAAAGTAAACTGTCACATTGGCTGGGAAGACGACATAATTTGGAGCATATAATGGTATGATTTGTCAGTGAATCACTATGGTGAGAGCCAATCAGATTGCAAGGATTTCAAAATTGATCTAATCAATCTGTAGATGGTCTGACAGTAGCAGCTGAGTGGAAAATGTGGGAGTTTTAAGTAAGGTTCCATAAATGAAATTATGCAACCCATTCCCAACATTCATCCCATTTTTCACTCCTTCCCTACTTTCATGCCATTTACTATTAATAGCACCTCTATTTATTTACTGAACCTCTGGAACAAGCTAGTAATAGACCATTAATCTTTGTTTGTGTCTCTCTTTAGAGAAAGGAAGATGGCACATACGTCCAGCCTAGAATGCTAGCTAGGACTCAGTGGAACAATGACAATCACTTTAAACCTCACTGAATTTTTGTTTCATTTTGTTAAACTTTTCAACAAGGGTAATCATTTGATGAGATCTCTAAGAATTCTTATAACCTATTGAGCAAACTATCAGTAACAGATTGAAGTCTTATAAACACTGGAGGTGAACTGCAATGGATCAACATCCCATTTACTGTCTGTAGGGGAGGAGTAGCAATACCCTTAGTTGCTTCATGCTATGTAGACAGAGAGAAGTTCTATGATCTTGTGGGTCCCTTAGCTTAGGTTCAGGCTTAACTTTACCATAATTACATCGTCTGTCCCCTGTTGAATCATTAGCTCCTCGCACATTTGAAAGATATTTAAATATTCTTTTTGTGTTGCTAAAAGCATGTATCAAGTAAAATTTGATATCAGTCAGACGAGTAATCATGGCATACATCAGTCACACTTGTATGATAGACAAGTTATTACACTGGCCTGAAAACATTACAACACAAACCTTTGAACACTCTAAACTCCCACTTTTCACAGAGGCCACCAGCAAGTTTACTTCTTCATCATTCATGACATTCACATCAGCTCCAAATTCCATTAGTGTCTTGATGCATTCAACATGGCCATTCAATGCTGCCAAGAAGAGAGGTGTTTCACCACTGTATGCTCGAGAATCAAGAAGATCCTCATTCTTGTGTTCCAGCAGGCTTCGTAGACAACCAGAGTGTCCTGCAGCAGCTGCCTCATGAAGAGGAAACCAACCACGATTATCAGAAACATCACAAGGAGATCCTGAAATAAACACAAAAAGAACTGTTTATCTCCTTTATTGACAATAAGTTATGGAGAAGTAACTTTCCTACAATCATGTCTCTGGTCATTTTGAATAGTGTATTTCAATGAGCACCCACCCTGAATAAACACCCACCCTTTGGAAACAATGTTGAACAAGCGCCCCTCTAATACAAACACCCCCCTCCTCCTTCACTTTCTTAAATAGTAGGGAAATGAGGAAAACCTGTTTCTATTGCCACTTTATTTACAATTTTTTAAGCATAAACTACAATGGAATTGTCAGTACAGGAGAATAGTTTCTTTTCCATGTCCTTACAGAGATCCTCTATGTGCCTTATCTGCTGCGCTAACTTAATAAGCATCCCTCCTTGTTTAAGTGGCCTCCTTTCAATAACTTTCGAATAACCCCCAGGTGCCCAATCTAGTTATGTGATAACTCTAATTTCACTGTAATTTATTTAAAACTAGCATCATTTTTAAAGATGAATTTATATTGTGTGAATGCTTATCATACTGCTTAAATTAATATAAAACAGAGAAGAAGTCAAAACAGGATTTCAGGCTCATAAAATAGTTACCAGAAAGAAATTTCAATTTTTGTAAAAGAGGAAGACAGCAGTTATTTTAGAAGGTCTACACAATTATGCAAAGCTTAAAACAGGGACAGGGGTATGTAGCTTCTTACCACAAAAAGTGACACAACATTTTTAAATTATTGTTCTATGAAAATACCTCTCTTATTTTGACATAACTGAAAACTCAATGTACAACCACCTTTAATCCTTTAACTCCCAGATCAAATTTGTTATTCTCCCCACGGTCAACCATTGTAACAATTCTTAGAATATTAGTTCAGAGAATTTAATATTGGATCAACTAATTGTCCCCAAATTGATAGTTCTCTTTATTCTCATCACCCATCTGGTTGATTTTGTATTGATATTGTTAGGAGAAATTCTGTCTTGGTCACTCATGGGATTTAAAGGGTTAACATTAATTTTGATTAAAAACATACACTGACAATTTTGAAACATTGCTTTGTCTAGGTATAGATCTACTGATATCTGTAGCTTGACTGATTGGTTGAGACATCCAGCTACCTTACAAAACGAGATGGGATTAAATTACTCATGAAAATTTAACGCCATTGAAGATATATCTTAACTTCTTGTATGACAGTCAAGTTTTCGAGGTTTCCCAGTTCATAGTTACATTTAGACTTGTGCAATTAGAGACATGAAAGAAAACTGAAGGACCAAAATAGACGAGGAGTATCAAGCGATAAGACTCCCCTGCTTGTGATTGTGAGCGAAATGCAACAGCTGCCCACTTGAATATGTACAGATATGTATCATGCAATAACTCGAATGGTATAGAATGCAATGACTCACCATCGGCAATAAGACGTATTAACCTTTCTTCGTCACCTTCTCGAGCAGCTAATCCAACATTTGAGACTGTAAGATCGTCGGCCCGATCGAAAAACTGTAATCCATTGCGAACATTTTCCAGATCTTGTTGCATTCCCAGCTCAACGGCCATTTTGAAAATGTTAGCCTATTGATCTAACGTAGAATTTGATTGGTTTAGCTGTTCGATAATTTACTGAATTCTCCATCCACCAATCATAACTCGTTTCCTATTTCTCTGTTGGAAAAGCAGTATTGGCGTTCGGACTGAAGGAAACATGGTCTGTTGGAGTGAAATTTGAAAGTCTGAATCAAAGTTTCTGCAACAGCAATATTTGCTTTGCTCGCTGATCTTGTTGAATGTTGTAGGACTGACTTTTCATTTTTCTAGGAAGAATGGAGTAAATTAAAGCTCTTTTGATATCATAGTTCACTTGAGCTACAATGCAGGTCAAAAGTCACGGGACACTTACCATGATATTGCTAAAATCTAATATTCTCGCCTCCCCCCAAACAACGTTGAATTTTGTGCGCTTTGTTAACTTTACTTAGAAATGGCGATTGTTCAGTTTTACCAAAATTATAAGAGGGGGGAGGGGAGGTTTTGTTTCAAAAACTGTGCATTAAAGGGTTTAATCCATCAGAAAAGGAGAGGAAGCTTACCGTGGGTAATTATCCAGAGCATAAAACTAATTTTCGCTATATCTTTTACTGATCCCTCTTTGTTCCTTTTCTACTCACAGTTTCGCTCATTCAGTTCCTGCAATGTGTAATCTGCTTCTTCCACATTCGATTCCACTTTACTTTCAATGAAGAATAAAACGCCCGCGGGCTCGAAAAGTGCGGGCTTGGTCGCTTGTGTCGCAGCCACGCCAATGAGACCTTGCTCGCAGCCTGAAAAATTGCATTTTGCGGCTCCAAGTACACAATAAAAAGTAATCTGTGCAGTTAGCAAGTCTAAGCCACCCTTTTGGTTGGAGGAAGCGAAAGAAAAAGAAAACTTTTTCTTTTCTCTCTGTTCTGAGAGCTCGGAACGGGATCACGTTAGCGCCAGCGAGTTATTAGCGAGTGGACAAATTGATTATTAAAAGCTCACGATCCTCAATTGCGATACTGCGCGATCTCGAGAATTTACTTTTACGATAAAAAAGACTTCCCTCACCCATCCGTTTTAGATTGGCTAATGAATATTTAACTTGAAATTTATTGCATTAGATGTATTTACATGATAGAGCATTTTCGTTTTTTCCTTTTGTTACACAATATGTTCTGTGATGGACTAAGAAAACCTTGGAATACTGTCATTGAGCCACCCAAGTGAGCGGCCATCTCTCCGGTAACTTTCAGCTCCGTTTTCAGTTGCCATACATTGCTTTCAGCGTTGTAACATGCAATTAAAATTTTTGTAAAAGTGTTTGTATTCCGGCTCACAACGTCTTCTTCCAGAACATACAACTCATCATCGGTGGCCAACAGGCCTCGAAATGAGGTCCATCTGTTGAAGCTTTTAATCAGCTGCCATTCGTTGGTTTCTTCACTGTACATTTCACACGTGAGTTGAATTGCCCTAGGCATATCACTCTGGGTTCCGGCAATGAATATTTTTCTGTTTACCGCTGCACCACGAGCCCTCTCTCTCGCTACTTGGATGTCCGCCAGTTTGTTCCACTGTTTTCTGCGAAGATCATACCTATCAACATCATTCACGAGCTTGCTTTGATACATTCCAGACCACACCTTACCACTAACGAAATAGATAAAACTATCGTGGACCACAATACTAAAACGGCTTCTCCAATCCAAATAATCAGTCGATAATATGTCTTCCCATGAGTCGGAATCTGGTTTATATTTCGCAAGAACGATGCGGTCTTTTTTGTAATGGAACGGTCTGTACAAGCTAAAAACGAAGGAATCTATTACCCTCCCTTTTGAGAACAAAGCGTACATTTCGTCCTCATAAACAAAAAGTTCAAGTAAATCTCTGTTTTCCAAAGAAGGCATCGAGTTCCAAGCCTTTGAGTGTAGATTATACCATGTGACATCAAGTCTCCAGGATTCATGATGATACGGGACTAGCTCGACTCTTTTTTTAATATACAAGTTATCACGAAGGAAGAAAACACGTTTCCAGTTGATTAAGTATACTGGAATTTCATCAAACTTGTACCACCGATCCTCACGAGGAAAATAACCGACAATCGTGAAATAATCTCCATTCCTAGAGTAGGTGACCAAAACAGGGGTCTCAAGAGACTTTCTGGGCTTGTGACGAAGAGTATCGAAACCTTTATAGTCAATTAACTCGACAGCCTTTTCCACGAGCTCGATACAGTCTTCATTGTCTCTTACCAAATAATTTGTCACGACATCACTGAATAGAAAGTCACGCGATATGTAAACCAGTCGAACGTAACGAAATAACTCGGGAAAATGATGTTTTCGTTTGTTTTTGTCGTGATTAATCCAGGCTAGAATGGTATTTTAACACGCGATTTTCGTTGGAATTGAAACTTTAAATAATTCTTAACTGAGGTATGAAAATATCGCTTGTACCATGGTCTGTAAACCGTCAATCAAGTCAATGTTTCATTTAAAATTTCTTAGCCCTATTAACCTCACCAGCTCAAGTTTTCTTTTGACCCTGACGTATGCATATCACCATGAAAAGTTTAAGATCAGATAATTTTTTCCAACCCGTGCAAGAAAAGATCATTCCATTGCGACAAAGTCAGCGACCGTTTATCTACCGTTGATACAATTTGTCTCAATATCATACAAACACTTTTGCCTACTCTGACGACTCTAAAGAAACTCGGTAAGAGTAACGAAAACATTTATCTTCAACGCGAAGTAAACCACAACATGAACTTCGACGATCCGTCCAAATGTTTCTTCACGTGATAATTCGCTTGCGGTTTCCTGATTCACTGAAACTTGTTAAGGAGTGTGATCTGTATGATAGAAACATGTCATTTCAATTTTGTGTTGGAGGCAGACTTCTCTTGTCAGTGCTGATTCTTACTTGAATTAGAAATTTCTTTATTTCATGATTTATTGCTGACACATGACTGCCGAACAAAGGATTCTTATTCGTCCATTCAGAGATTGATTTGAAAAGGAAAACTTCCGTTTTGGAGTGATGTACATTGAAATAACTCAACAGATTGGTGTAAGGCAAGCAACTGATAGCCACTTAACAGCAGAATAAAGTCACTAGTTGCCATTTTCAACACAGAGCCTCTCCGAATCCACTATAAGACTAGGATGATCTTTCTCAAAGCAAAGTCTTCGATGATTTGAATAATTGCTAATTTATCTTTCCCTTGCATCGTCATTAGCTACCAAACTAAGTAAAAAAATTGACAGAGAAATCAGGCGACCATGGTCTCTTGGAGAAAAGCAGTTCTGAGCTGATAGAAAAACATACATCACTAGTTTATAATAAACGCTACTGCCTCCTAACTGAGGAGGTCGCAAAAGCCAATCCATGCAGTACTGAGAGATTTTACATCACAGAGCTAAACAAGCTATGGCATCATTGGGCCGGTCTTCTTTTTCCGTTGCCTTTACGATTCAGTTAAAAAGTGAAAAAAAATAAATGATTGTTTGGAGTTTAGATTGGCCTTATGTCAGAAAACTTCTCTTCTGGATAATTGCTCTTTGTGTCTTGAAGTGTTTGACTCAAATCAAATTGTCCATTAAATCTTTGATGGACAGTTAGCATCCCATGCACACAACATTGCGGCTGCCAGAGTAAGATGTCATTGAAATATTGGCTTTTAATCACTACAACAAGAGCGCTCTTGATCCCTAATATGACTTCGCATTAAAAGCAATTGCAAAAGGAAACAACGCTTTGAAGTAAATTCAAATCATCCGATGACGACGTCTCTCTTTAAACAACAAAGAAAAAATTACATCCTGTGTTAACCCTTCTTAGGGTATTCTCCATCGAGCTGTGATTAAAAACATTTTTTTTTAATATCCCGAATCTTGGAGTAGAATAAAGTATTTAGAGTTCAAAATAACAAGCTGAACAAACAGTTATTGTTACTGATGAGTGATTTTTTTTAATCGCGCGTGGTTTGTGGCTTGGTGCAGTCGGATAATAACAAATAAATACTCCTATCATGTATACAATTTTGACAAAAACTAAAAAAGTTCTTGCAAGAAATGAAGCAGGCGCCGGAAAAAAGTAAAAGGAGGAGACGTATTCTGTGTAAGAAATATTGTCACGATCTGATTGGTGCAAGAGACTATCTCTAATGCCTCGATCTGATTAATGCATGCAACAATACCTTGATGCTGCGATCTGATTGGTGCGAGCATGAAATGACGAGCATGAGCCACTAACTATCATTTTATTTTTTACAGGGTGGGGGTGGGGACGTAAAAGGAAGAAGAACACTAAGTGGTCACATGGAGCCGAGTCTAAAGTGTTTTTTTGGTAATTAGTCCAGAAGAGCATGAATGGACGACGATCGGGAATTCCCGAAGTGATCTGTTTGCTTGCAGTTTTAGACCTCTTGGAAAGTCATAGAGTCGAAAATCTAAGGGGTCAATAATTCAACTGCGTTGCATTAGTTCCGAGAGAAGTCTGTATATTGGTAAGTCGATCGACATTGTATCTATGAACCTAAAGAATTTTCTGTCGATGTCGAAGATCGAGGCGTATCCTGAGTGGTAACAGATACAAAACTTTTCAACTTTGAATTATCGAGCCAACCTTTGAAAATTCTTATTGAACAAACGTTCAGTACAGAAGACATCCTCGTCAGGAGTTTGTTCGGGCTCCATCTGTTCCTCTCAAAGTCGTAGTGTTTTACTGTCTGGATTTTCGTGATCACACTTTCAATCAAAGCATACACCTCGTCATCGACAGTCACGAAGTTTATAATTCTATTTGGATAAGATCCTTCGTTGAAGCCTTCGATGAGGTGCCATTCATTTGTTTCTTCATCGTAAATTTCACACTGATTCACTTGTGCTCCCCTTTTAACGCCGCCAGAGATGATAACTTTCCCGTTTCCTGCAGCACCACTAGCCCGCTTTCTTGCTATTTGAAGACTTGTTAGTTTTTCCCACTGGTCTGTGTTAAGGTCGTACCTGTCCACATCATTCAGAAACTCGCATTCGCGTCCGTGCCATTCTATTCCGCCTATGAAATAAATGAAATTGTTATGGGCCACAATGGTAAAATGCTGTCTCAGATCCAAATGATTGAAAGATGTGACTTCTTTCCACTTGTGTAATTCAGGTTTATATCGCATAATGAAGGAAACATGTTTCTCTTCGGTTCCTTCCTTGGCACATCGTCGGCCGAAAAGACGTTTTGAGTGTCTTCTTCCATTTCGAATCCGCCAAACACGATAATGATCCCAACCACATCGTTCCAAGAACAAAGCAAACATTTCATCTTTATTGTTGACAAATATCCTCCAAAGACATGTGTTTCCCTCCGAGACTGGTAACGAGGTCCAAGCGTTCGAGTAGGGATCGTAGCATGACATATGCAGTCTACAGATATCTTGTGGGTATTCAACTGACCCTATTCTTGTGCTGTACAACTTACTATTGCAGGAAAAAATTCGGCTAGCTCTCGATTCTGAAGGCCTCTCGTCACCCAAAGTATACCAGCTATTTTCACGGGGAAAAAAGCACATTAAATATTTTTGACTGTAAGTGATCAAAACAGAGCTTTCAAAAACCTTTCTAGGCGTGTAATGGAGACTATCTGGGAGATTGTCAAAGTTCTTAGAGTCAAGTGTGCCGATAGCTTTATGAACAAGATCCAGACAACCTTTATTGCCTTTGACCAATTCATTTGTCACGACATTATTGCTCAGAAAGTCACGCGATATGTGAAGTAGTCGAACGTGACGAAACAACTCTGCGAAGTAATTCTGTCGCTTTCTTTTTGCGTGATGAATCCAGGCAAGAATGATGTTAAACACATCTTCCTAAACATCTCTAAGCGAACCACTCCTTCTTTGCACTCCTTCATGTCGCTGTTCAGCAGCTTTTCAAAGAATGGACTCGCCTCCGAAAGAGCTTTTCTGTGAGCTTTGAACTCGCCATCTTTGACCACCAAAGTAACATCGCACGGCTGATAGAGGCCATCTTTTGAGATTTCTTCTGCTGGATTAACTTTGTCAGATGTCAGAACAGTGTGAGGAATCGATGCCATTTTTTGTTTGGAATTGATAATTAATTTTTTTGTCGTTCTGCGACTCAGTGCTGACTCATAACTGCACTTAATTTGAATTTCACTGTCAGTAATATTGGTTCGAGTCTTTATCCAATAAGAGACAAATGAATTGAGTTGGACTCATTCTGATAGTGGGAGGGACAGGTGCATTGAACATTTTTACCACCCTTGGTCCCCTCCCTTCCCCGCTATTTTCGTTCTAACTTCTTAGTGGCTTCTAAATATTTCTAAAGAAAGGTTTTGTAGTCTCCAGGTTTGAATTTTAATTTCGTCTCCATTTTAAAACATGGATTTAAATTTGACCTGCAGCTGAGTTTGCAAGACCGGTAGTTGCTTCTAAACATCACTCAGCTAAATCAACCCACTTTTTAAGCACTGCATTTATGTTCTTCAACGCTTGGTTCGAAAACATCGATTGCACTACATTCTCGCTACTTGAATGTCTGCCAGCTTATCCCAGTGATTTCTGTGGTGATCGTACCTATCAACGTCTCGCAAGAGCCTCCTCTCGTGACCCCATTCAGATTCTGTGCCTCCAATGAAATAAACGAAGTTCTCTCGTAGCAATAATGCTCTTTCTCAACCAAATGCTCATCTGATAAAATTCCCTCCCATTAGTTGGAACCTACGTTATATTTTGTGATGAAGAAGCCGCTTCTTTTCTTAAAATGGTAAACAGATGCCTCGGGGAAAATAATAGGCGTCCACTTACAAAATAAGAACAAAGCATACAATTTATCATTATAGAGGAACATATCTCTCAATTTTAGGTCATCTGATGATGGTAACCACGTACATGTGTTCGAATGTGGATTGAAACATTGGATGCAAAGGATAGGAAATTCTGGCCGGCTCTCGCCTCGTGCAGTACCTTTTATCATGACAGAAGAAAATACTCGTGATACCTTCCATCTGTAATGGCTCTTTTTCGCACCCTGATCCTCACGAGGAAAATACATAAGATATCTTCCTTCCGTTGTGAATTTGACAATTGCAGCGGATTCGAGAGACTTTCTTGGTATGTGCTAAAGACCATCGAAAATCTTAGTATCAAGTAATTAGAGAGCTTTTTCAACAAGTTCCAGACAGTTTTCAATGTCTATTACCAAATCATTTGTCACGACACTACTACAAAGAAAGTCACGCGATATGCAAACAAGTCTAACGTGACGAAATAATTCGGCGAAATATATTGTGCACTGGTTTCTTTCGTGATTAATCCAAGCTAAGCTAAGCTAGAATGACATGGGAAACATCTTCCTAAATGCTAACATGTAGCTCATCGCTTGAAATCAGCATTGATAGCTCATAGCTGGACATTTTCAAAACATATCCACTATTCACAGAGAACATTGCGCTGAAAATTGCAAGGGTAAATGTTTTGGCCCTTGAGGCAAGTTCCTCGCAGTGATATTCATCAGCAAAATGGAAAATTGAAACACAATATGAAATATTCAATTTCAGTATCAGAATATGCGCTGCCAAGGTGTTAAGTCTCTGAAGAAACAAATAATCTGCTATCATAACCAAGTCTCGGGTATCATCATCCAGTATCTGAATATAACCGGTGTATATAAACTCCGATGTGCTTCTCATGACAGAGTCGGTAAACATCTCCAAGCGAACCACTCCTTCTTTGGACTCCTTCAAGTCGCTGTTCAGCAGCTTTTCAAAGAAAGAACTCGCCTCTGAAAGAACTTTCTTGGGAGCTTTGAAAGTCGCCATCCTTGACGATTCAAGTAACATCATAAGGCTGATCGAGTTCTTCTTTGGTGAACCACGCTTTACCTGGGATTTGGTTTGGAGTAACTTGCTGAGATATTCAAGCAGTCGGTGAAATCGATGCCATCTTAATTTTCCAACTGAAAAGGGAATGTTCACTTTCACGACTCAAGGCTGAGAGTCAAAGTCATCTGTGAATTTGCGCACTGGTCTCTTGAGCTTTACCATTACATGTGCTAATTACTATTGGTCTTCACTGCAACTAACAGGTGACAGTGTGTGGCTATCAAAGCCGACTGGTTATTCTGATCACGTACTGTTTGTGTGCTCTCGGTCGGATGTACGTTGCGAGTTAAACCTTTGATCCCTAAAAGTGACTAGGATCTAATTTCTCCTTACAATATCAGCCCTGAATCAAATATTAAGGTCACGAGAATAAAGGAAATGATCTCAGAGATGCAAACCTCGAGAGATCTCAAATCTGGAGATTTTTTTTCGGATCAGCACCCCCCGACCAAATTCGCCAATGCAACCCCCTCCCCGAAAATTTCTTTTTTTGATTTGGACTTCCCACCCGCCCCCCCCTCCCCGAGTAATTTCGCGGGAAAAACGTGGATCAATCTGTCAGGGACTTAAAACTCATCCAATCAGACTCTCGCTTATACAGGAGAAATAAAGGAGAACTCTCTTCCTCTTGTTTGCAACCAACAACGCGCATCACGCAACAAAATGAAGCCAGTAACCGTGATACAAGCATAAGAAGCCAAATGATTTTGTAATTTTGGAATATATGGAGCTTAAATTTTAGTTTTTCGTGAGCAACTGATCCAAATTTCCTTTTATCCGGGAGTTTTGGTCACCCGTACGGGAGAGCGGGAGATTCGCGCTGTATCCTGGACACTCCCGGATAATCCGGGAGAGTTGGCATATATGTGATCTTTCAGGAGGCTTTTAATTGTAAAACAAATTCTCCTTCTCCTGTCAGCACCGTAGAAAATGTAAAGAGAACAGTATAGAGAATATAGATACTGATGTTAGCGTGTAAAGGATCAACAATACATCTACTAGTGAATAATATACACTTAATGTATGGTCCCGAGGGAAACAGTTAGTTTTGTTTTCCCGAGTTTTCTTCGTCTCGGAAAATATCAGGACTCGGGAAAACATAACTTACTAGTCCCCCGTGGGACCATACACTAAGTACTTTGTTATATATTCAGACTTTCCCTTAAACAATCATCTTGCAAAAACATGCTGTTGTATTCGGGTAATAACTGCGTTATGGTATCCCAGTCGGGATACATTGGAATTTGATCAGGGGCACGTGACCAAGAATCAACCAATCTCAGTGCTCGTTTTGTCGAGTGAAATTTTACGTATGTAACAATATCAAATGATACCTCACTGAGATATTACGGTGATCTCAACGCCTGCGGAGTATCTTATTTGCGTCATAAGAGTGCAGTGAAAAGAAATTATATGTGTTGTTGTAGTTTCTTGTTCAGTGAACTTTTGAGCGAGCGAAAAAGACGACAGTCTTAAGGGGGGAGTTTGGGTTGAAACAGATAACCCTTTTGCTTATTTTTTTTTTGTTGTTGTTTTGTTTTTGCTCTCTTTTTCCCACAAACCCACGTGTGGATACGGAAAGGCGAAAAAGTAATAAACGTATATCAGGAGGAACTGATCCCAGTAAATACCAGGTCATGTACGTAAATTATCCTACACACTTGAAATGAACAGCAATAGTTGTACTGACCAAATTCCTTTTTTACCGAGAAACGACCACACTAAAGTAAAAAAAAAAAAAACAGCAACAGATAAAAAAAACCTCAAGAGATTCACCCAAACAACCAGTAAGCAAAATCTGCTTAGATTGTTTTGTTCTATGCCGCGCTAGCCAGTAGGATTAAAAAGCCGATTCTAACGCATTTTCAAAAAATCCACTTCATCAATGGTTGAACATTCAATAAAGTAAAATATTTAACCACAACAATGGTCAAAAATCAGAAAAACAAATTTGACTTAAGATGTATAAGTTCTGTACAAAAATGTTAGAATCGAGAGATCAACAGTGTAAACGATGTAAGTGCCATCGCTATCGAAGCGACTTTTTAAAGGAAGGTCGAGAGCTGAAAACATGCCTGAATTGTACAGAGAGAGCTCGTCAATATAACTATAGAAATGAGTGTAATTATTTTGGGAGAAAATGTGAATGTAAAGAATGTGGAAGTGGCCTGTCGTTTTGCGAGCTCGGAACATTGAAATGGAAGCGTAAGTCATGTGATGGCAAAGCATACTACAGTCATGGTAATATGAAGTGGAAGTGTCTTGAATGCAAGCATAGAACTCTTAATAATATTTAACCATACTCTTGGTTAAATGTTTCTTAAGGGGTCGTTGTGTAGGTACCTTTTTTAGCGCATGAGACTTCATGTGTTGCCTCGTTGCACTAAGGGCCGCATCGATAGTGCCCGTGTGCTAGTGTGCGTATACTATCCTCCAAGATTATTGGTTTATCGTCGTTTGCACTCAATGCTTCTTTGTTTACTTCCTCTGTGTACATCTCGTGAGACAGAGAGAAACACAATAGATAACATTCCAAGTCACCCTGGCAACCATCCTCGCTAAGAATAGGTTTTCTGGGCTCCTACTTGGTGTAGAAGACACAGTATACGTCACAATAGAATTTCATCACAACCGGGAATAAGAAAACAGTGAAAACAGAATTGTGACGTCTCCTAGCGACCTTGGAACGCAATAGCGGGCTCGCCCGCTCGCCTGACACATTACAAATCCATACGCTCATTTTTATCAACCCATGAATTGAACTCATCAGAGTACCCTTTCCACTTCACAAGGACTTTATTACCTTTACTTTTGATAACCTTTTCAATTCTATATACATCCTGCGTCGTCTTTAGGAGCTCCTGTTAATAAAACGTGCCTTGAATAATTAATATCTTTACCATTGTAATCCTGTATCTTATGCGTAGGCGGTCTGGTATGTTACTGGTTTGAAATTGTAAATACTTCTTCTGTCCACCATGAAGTATACCCTTTTCGCTTTTTTTTTTTCCTCTTTACAATTCTTACTCTCTCCGACATTGAAATTAAAATGAAAAGAGTGCTTGTATGTAAATCTTCATAGAGATTTTTATAAACAATAGACTCGTTCTTTTTCAAACTAGCCTCTGTACGGGTCAACTTAATGGATGAATAAGTGACTCTATCATGAGATAAACGAACAACGTTCACCTCCTGGATGAATGGACTTTGTTTTCGTAATCATGAACCATGTCATCTAATACGTCAATGTATTTTTGAGTAGAATTGGGAATGCTGTTTGGTATGCATTGACGTCACACCAGTATAAAGAATTATGAGCTAGTGAAACTCAACCACAACCTGATATGAACAATACGGAACCAAGTCCACATGCATCAACCAACCAAGCCCAAGACCCACCGACCCAACCTGCGGAGACAACTGCAGCTTTCCTAAGAAGAATTGTGCAAGAGTATTCATTGCCAGAGTACCTCTTGAAGGGTTTTTACTACGGTTTTTGCGGCTACATCGCAGTAAAAGCATTCAAGTACGCCACAAACAGAGACATACTGATAAAAGACAGAGAGCTAACAGTGAAAGCCTTGTGCTTGCTCATTGAAACTATATCCAAACTACGCAAGTGATCGCACAGATTTGATCTAAGCTCAATCAACAAGACCAGTACCACCTAAAAAAACAGTTGAATCAGTTACAGAGATTCTTCAAAACATTATAAGCATGTTCTTGCTACTTTTTGTGCAGCAACATCGTAGTAAAAACAGTCAAGTACGCCACGGAGATTCTTCAGAACATCATAAGCAACAAGGAAAGATTGTTGTTATGTAACGCATTCTGTAACATGCGTTACATAACAATTACAAACTTTTGCATTTTCTTCGAGTTCCGTGTTCATATCAGTTGTCCTTCTCCTCTGGGAGTCGTAAACGTCCGCTTTTCATAAGCTAGGCGTTCTGATGAGGCTTGATATCAGCCGAAACGACTCATAGCAACCTTGGAACGCAATAGCGGGCTCGCCCGCTCGCCTGACACATTACAAATCCATACGCTCATTTTTATCAACCCATGAATTGAACTCATCAGAGTACCCTTTCCACTTCACAAGGACTTTATTACCTTTACTTTTGATAACCTTTTCAATTCTATATACATCCTGCGTCGTCTTTAGGAGCTCCTGTTAATAAAACGTGCCTTGAATAATTAATATCTTTACCATTGTAATCCTGTATCTTATGCGTAGGCGGGCTGGTATGTTACTGGTTTGAAATTGTAAATACTTCTTCTGTCCACCATGAAGTATACCCTTTTCGAAAGCTTTTTTCCTCTTTACAATTCTTACTCTCTCCGACATTGAAATTAAAATGAAAAGAGTGCTTGTATGTAAATCTTCATAGAGATTTTTATAAACAATAGACTCGTTCTTTTTCAAACTAGCCTCTGTACGGGTCAACTTAATGGATGAATAAGTGACTCTATCATGAGATAAACGAACAACGTTCACCTCCTGGATGAATGGACTTTGTTATCGTAATCATGAACCATGTCATCTAATACGTCAATGTATTTTTGAGTAGAATTGGGAATGCTGTTTGGTATGCATTGACGTCACACCAGTATAAAGAATTATGAGCTAGTGAAACTCAACCACAACCTGATATGAACAATACGGAACCAAGTCCACATGCATCAACCAACCAAGCCCAAGACCCACCGACCCAACCTGCGGAGACAACTGCAGCTTTCCTAAGAAGAATTGTGCAAGAGTATTCATTGCCAGAGTACCTCTTGAAGGGTTTTTACTACGGTTTTTGCGGCTACATCGCAGTAAAAGCATTCAAGTACGCCACAAACAGAGACATACCGATAAACGACAGAGAGCTAACAGTGAAAGCCTTGTGCTTGCTCATTGAAACTATATCCAAACTACGCAAGTGATCGCACAGATTTGATCTAAGCTCAATCAACAAGACCAGTACCACCTAAAAAAACAGTTGAATCAGTTACAGAGATTCTTCAAAACATTATAAGCATGTTCTTGCTACTTTTTGTGCAGCAACATCGTAGTAAAAACAGTCAAGTACGCCACGGAGATTCTTCAGAACATCATAAGCAACAAGGAAAGATTGTTGTTATGTAACGCATTCTGTAACATGCGTTACATAACAATTACAAACTTTTGCATTTTCTTCGAGTTCCGTGTTCATATCAGTTGTCCTTCTCCTCTGGGAGTCGTAAACGTCCGCTTTTCATAAGCTAGGCGTTCTGATGAGGCTTGATATCAGCCGAAACGACTCATAGCAACCTTGGAACGCAATAGCGGGCTCGCCCGCTCGCCTGACACATTACAAATCCATACGCTCATTTTTATCAACCCATGAATTGAACTCATCAGAGTACCCTTTCCACTTCACAAGGACTTTATTACCTTTACTTTTGATAACCTTTTCAATTCTATATACATCCTGCGTCGTCTTTAGGAGCTCCTGTTAATAAAACGTGCCTTGAATAATTAATATCTTTACCATTGTAATCCTGTATCTTATGCGTAGGCGGTCTGGTATGTTACTGGTTTGAAATTGTAAATACTTCTTCTGTCCACCATGAAGTATACCCTTTTCGAAAGCTTTTTTTTCCTCTTTACAATTCTTACTCTCTCCGACATTGAAATTAAAATGAAAAGAGTGCTTGTATGTAAATCTTCATAGAGATTTTTATAAACAATAGACTCGTTCTTTTTCAAACTAGCCTCTGTACGGGTCAACTTAATGGATGAATAAGTGACTCTATCATGAGATAAACGAACAACGTTCACCTCCTGGATGAATGGACTTTGTTTTCGTAATCATGAACCATGTCATCTAATACGTCAATGTATTTTTGAGTAGAATTGGGAATGCTGTTTGGTATGCATTGACGTCACACCAGTATAAAGAATTATGAGCTAGTGAAACTCAACCACAACCTGATATGAACAATACGGAACCAAGTCCACATGCATCAACCAACCAAGCCCAAGACCCACCGACCCAACCTGCGGAGACAACTGCAGCTTTCCTAAGAAGAATTGTGCAAGAGTATTCATTGCCAGAGTACCTCTTGAAGGGTTTTTACTACGGTTTTTGCGGCTACATCGCAGTAAAAGCATTCAAGTACGCCACAAACAGAGACATACCGATAAAAGACAGAGAGCTAACAGTGAAAGCCTTGTGCTTGCTCATTGAAACTATATCCAAACTACGCAAGTGATCGCACAGATTTGATCTAAGCTCAATCAACAAGACCAGTACCACCTAAAAAAACAGTTGAATCAGTTACAGAGATTCTTCAAAACATTATAAGCATGTTCTTGCTACTTTTTGTGCAGCAACATCGTAGTAAAAACAGTCAAGTACGCCACGGAGATTCTTCAGAACATCATAAGCAACAAGGAAAGATTGTTGTTATGTAACGCATTCTGTAACATGCGTTACATAACAATTACAAACTTTTGCATTTTCTTCGAGTTCCGTGTTCATATCAGTTGTCCTTCTCCTCTGGGAGTCGTAAACGTCCGCTTTTCATAAGCTAGGCGTTCTGATGAGGCTTGATATCAGCCGAAACGACTCATAGCAACCTTGGAACGCAATAGCGGGCTCGCCCACTCGCCTGACACATTACAAATCCATACGCTCATTTTTATCAACCCATGAATTGAACTCATCAGAGTACCCTTTCCACTTCACAAGGACTTTATTACCTTTACTTTTGATAACCTTTTCAATTCTATATACATCCTGCGTCGTCTTTAGGAGCTCCTGTTAATAAAACGTGCCTTGAATAATTAATATCTTTACCATTGTAATCCTGTATCTTATGCGTAGGCGGTCTGGTATGTTGCTGGTTTGAAATTGTAAATACTTCTTCTGTCCACCGTGGAATATACCCCTTTTCAAAAGCTTTTTTCTTCTTTACAATTCTTACTCTTTCTCCGACACTGAAATTAAAATGAAAAGAGTGCTTGTATGTAAATCTTCATAGAGATTTTTATAAACAATAGACTCGTTCTTTTTCAAACTAGCCTCTGTACGGGTCAACTTAATGGATGAATGGATGAATAAGTGACTCTATCGTGAGACAAACGAACAAAGTTCATCTCTTGGATGAATGGACTTTGTTATCGTAATCATGAACCTTCAATGTATTTTTCAGTAGAATTGGCTAAAAAATATTTCCACATCTTTTCTTTCATTGTTCGATTCCATCTTTCGATAACACACGACTTCCCCTCACTCTCAGTAGAGTAAAGCTCAACTAAAGCTTGAACGTGCTTATTGTAAAATTATTTTTCTTTGTCTACCCATAGCTTATCAGGCTTCCGGTGTTTAACTATTGGCTTGAACGCATTAGAGACTTCAATCCCTGTCTTACTTTTTAATGGAGTACAATCCATCCATATTTCGAAAACACGTCAATCACCATTAATAGGCATTTATTATTTCTATGCGTTACAAGCATTAAAATGAAATAAATACTAATTCATGCACAAATGAATGCTTAATTCAATACAGATTATTGCCCATTATTAGCGATTATTGCTCCTACACGTGTTAGCAAGAACTTGGTCTTGTTGGCGTTCATTGTGAGCGTTTGGTGATCCATATATCAGTGGAGACACTCTCTGCAACTATCTCTGTGTAGAAAATACTAATCCTTTCATCCTTACTTAATTTCATTCATACAGGCATGAATGAGAACCAGCACTAAAGCAAAGTAAACAAAAGAGCTTAAAAGTGCCAATACATAGTAAAGATAGGTTTCCAGAGCCACTTACCAGGAGTAGATTTATAAGCTAAAAATACTACATTTGAGCTTAAATGTTACACAGACATTATTCAGGCATGATGGAAGTTTAAACACACATTCTTGGCTCATTCCGAAGTGATGCTGTACACTTCACAGCTGTCAAATTTATCAAATTTTGTGTTCAGAATTACTGTTGGCCTTGATATTTTTAACGTTGTATAACATTCAACATTATCTAACATTATATAACATTGTTTTCGAAGGTTTCTTCGCTTCATGCCCTGGGTCCTTATGTACATAATTCTGTTTTATGGAAAATAACAGTTAACTCAAGCAGGAAAACTCCGATCAGCTTAGAGAAATCAGCCTGGTAATCTCAGAACAGCTGTGTTGTGTGAATAATTGTGCTTAGAAATAACAGTTACCTCCAGCTGGAAAACAAAATAGACAGAACAACTTACAGGGGCTGGAAAATACAAGTAAGTACTGGAAAAGAATTTATTTCTTGCTGGTAATCTCAGAACAGCTGTGTGGGGCTGGAAATTAACAGTGCTGGAATACAACAGTTAACTCCTGCTGGAATTCAGACACAGGAAACTTTTAAATACTATCATGCTACAGTAAACCGAACATGTAATAATATCATCCATTGCCTCAGTTCCAGTTACTTGTAGAAAGGTCATCTCTGAACCTTTAAATAGGATCTGTTATACCAGTTATGTACAGTTTGCAATAAATTAATGAAAGAAAAAATCTTAACCCTTTAACCCCTAAGAGTGACCAGCTTCAAATTTCTCCACACGGTATCACCCCTGAATCAAAAAATTAAGGTCACATGAATCAAGGAAATGACCAACAACTCATAAAGCTCTTGATTTTAAAACTAATTCTCCTCGTCAGCACCTTAGGAAATGTATAGAGAACAGCATGGAGAATATTCATACTGATGTAGGGCGTAAAGGGTTAATCAATAAATGTATGTAAAAGTAGCAATCTTATATAGCCAGTGCTTATTCACAAATACTATATTTTATTTTGCAGATTGTAGCTTCAATGGATATCAGAAATATGTTTATGAAAAACTTGCAGATATTGTCTAGTGCAGTGTGCTGGTGAAGACAGCAGTGCAAGAATAGGTGAAGATGGAATCAAGAAATGCAAAACAGGAGTGAGTCCACTTAGATCTGAAAAAACCATGGAAGAGGTTTCTGCTGGTTTTGGTGTTGCTTTTCATGGTAAGTATGAATCAGGGGATTTTGAGGAGGATTATGAAGAAATGGAAGATGATCCATTTAATTTGTTTTTCTCCTCCTCTTCCCCCATTAGACATTCAACTATTGGACAAAGACACAGAGTTTTCAAATAAAACAATATTCAAGGTAATTAATATGTTGACGCTTTTCACTCTTTGTCTCTTTGTTTTAGTAATATGAGTTTTTTGCTATATTTTTCTATAATTATTCATCTATATAAATCTTGTTTGCTTTTTTGTTATTTGCTTTTTTACAGCCAGTGAACCAGATGATGAAGATTTTGTTCTGTGTGAGCTCCTCAAGCCTCCCAAAGATGCTTCTTATGAGGTATACAGAATTTGTGAGTGATTTATGGTTTTCTTCTGCTTAGGTTTTCTCTTACTTTATTATTATTATGATTATTATTATTATTATTATTATTGTATACTATCCAGAGATATTCATGTAACATGCTAAGTAGTTTAGAGGAATATTATTATTGTTGTTATTATTATTATTATTATTATTATTTATTTACATTATGCAGAAATGTTCTTGTAACATTCCTAGTAGTTTAGGGGAATATCATCATCATCTTCAACATTATTATTATTATTAATATTGCTTTGATGAACCACACGATGCTTTTGAAGTTCACTTTTTACATACTTTTTAATTAAAACATGTTTCGGATGAAACATCATCCATTGTCAGTGGTATAATGAGAAATAAATGAAATTATGCAATAAATAGTATAACAAAATGAGATGTTAACAAGAATGGTTCATCAAAGCGATATCTTACTTCGTGCTGTTACGAAGCCCTGGTATTATTATTATTATTACTATTATTATTACTTTAAACTATGCAGAGATGTTCTTGTAACATGCTATGTACTTTAGGGGAATATCATTATTATTATTATTATTATTATTATTATTATTATTTTATCCTATGCAGAGATGTTCTTGTAACATGCTATGTACTTTAGGGGAATATCATTATTATTATTATTATTATTATTATTATTATTATTATTTTATCCTATGCAGAGATGTTCTTGTAACATGCCAAGTAGTTTAGGGGAATATTATTATTATTATTATTATTATTATTATCACTATTATTATTATTACTAATACTTCTGTGTTATGTTCTTTTGATGACCAGTTTTGGATGTTATTTATTGCCTTATGTCTGCAATAAATTTTAAGATAAATTACTACAAATAAAATTAATGGTTGATGTTCCTTCTTCAATTGCTAAATTTGTTTGTTGGATTAACATAAGGATAAGGTTGTTTTCATCGTCCCTTGAGTTAATTTATAGCATATTATCATTATATACTGATACTTGGTTGGTGGTACTTCATTAGCAAAGAAGTCCAACCAACCCGATGAATGTAAGCGAAATGTGCACCTTAATACCTATTTGGTGAAGACAGTCTTTTATAAGCTGAGCGTCATTAGAGTTTCTTTCCTGATGAAGACTGATTTTCTTTACAGATTCAAAACCTACAGATGCTCCATTCGAATGGAGGAAGGAAGGTATTCCAATGCCTTAACGTCATCACTGAGCAATATCTTTTCAAACTAAGGAAGGAGAAAGGGATAAATGTTCTAAGAGGGTGTTACCATGCAGTGATGACAACAGAAGAAATGGTAGATTTTGATTACTGGAGGCAGGTAAGGAAGGGGAAGTCGAGACAAAGATTTTTTCATACAAGTGGGATAGAGCCTTGGAATTTTGGACCAAGGAGACCACAGGAGAGTTGATAGATGTGGTAAGTATCTTAGAGCGAGTGGATAGTGATGGATGGGTCTCATTGAGTATCAAAGAACAGCATCATTATGAAATGTGGAGAGACTGGAAATGGAGGCAGCTTGTAGAGAAAAAGTTTTTGTAAATTTTAAATGAAATCAACCAGGCAAGCTATTTGGCACAGTGTGATATTGATAATTAAACACCAAATAGGTCATGTGGTCACTCTAGCAGTTTTGACTGGGTTTTGAAGCATGCCTAATTCAAGTTATATCTAAAATTCTCCTGCTCCAAATTGTGAATAGTACCTAGACATAGCCAGAGAACATCAACAGAGAATGTGACCTCTTAAGCATGTTCACATCAGGCCCATGAATTTGTCTACAAAACTTCCTTTGGAATTGTTAAGTTCCAGAGTTTCACGTCTGGTGCATTTCCAGAGCAGTAAATTTATTTTCAAAAAACGACACAAACAGTTAAATTGCAAGTAATTTATTTAAAATCTTTACGTTTACAAGAACCCATATAAAATAGATTTCTTACCAACAATTATGAATGAATGGGTGAAAAAAATAGTCCTGACTCCTCAATCTGGTGTGAAATGCTTTATTTCATTCAAAAGTATATGCGGAAAAATTGGAAGGACAGAAAGAGTTACTTTCTGTAATCTGTGAAATAGTATTGAACAATTAGAGCTAAGTAGTTGTAAGTGAATAAAAGGAAAGAATGGATTTATTGTATAATAGTGCACTGTAGTCTACTCTATATTTCACAAATTCCTAAAAACCACTATTTCACCTAAAGTTATTTGGTTGAATTATTTGTACGAATGATGTTTATTTCCATAGAAGTGTTGCTTGTTCAAGTTCAACTGGAGGAGTTTTTTTTTTTAAACAACTATCCATTTCTTTGTTGGATGAGCAATTTAAGCTGGAATTTTGGGTTAGATTAATTTAGGTTTGCACATGTAGTTAGAAAAAATATTTAGCACCAATCACTCCTGCCTAAATGTCACAAAAAGTGTCTATTTGTTCCAAACACTTACAGTGTATCCTATTTATCCTATTTATCAAGAGAATTTTGTCAACAAAGGATATTATAGAAAAAAGGTAACCAAAATGTATATGAAACATTTGAAAAGGAACAACTAGAGTGATTTTACTTAACCCATGAAACAGTATGTAAAAAACCTGAATGACACCAGCACGCATGCTTGATTGTTGGATCACCCCATGTTGTGTGTGGAAAGCATGACATAAACCAAAAATTTTTGTAATGCACGGTAGTTTATGACCAATTTCACTGGTTGGATAAAATCACCCTTTATATATTCATCTACAATGTCTTGTGGAGAAATAAACCATGACAAAGCCTTGACTTAGCATTAGCATGAATAATAATTATTGCTCAATTGTCTTCGTTAGTGATGCATGTTAATAGTGACAAGAAAGTAATGCTAGTTAATATTGTATTAAAAGTTTCATTAAATCTGAATTACTTAGGTTTGGTTTTCTTTTCTTTTCAATGAATTCTGAAAACGGGCTAAATCATATCCATGCATCTTAAAATTTGAATAAATCATAACTCGGGACACCCTCAGTTTTCCATTTTTTTCTAATTAATTCCAGAAAACTGTTTCAATTAAGGTAATTAATTGAATTAATCAGTTAATGAGGGCCCCGCTGAAAACCGCTGTGGCGAGTTGGGCTCCCTCGTTAAATATTATTATTATTATTTTTTTTTTTTTTTCAATGAACTCGAGAAAAACGGGATAAATTCTGCGAATTCATCTGAAAGTGGCTAACACGCTTAGTTCCCATATGTCATCTTTACCCCGATTTTCCATTTGATCAGCGAATTCCTTAGGCATCTAGAAAAACGGGGTTAATTCTGTGAAATTCATCCTTTTAGTGGATTATATTCTATAGACTTGCCATAGCCATCTTTGCCCCGATTTTTGATTTGATCATTGCGTGAATTTGTCATAAACGGGTAAATTATGACAAATCCGCCTTAACGTGCAATAAATCCTACAATGATTTAGAAACCGTACTGAAAAAAAAAAAACAGCTAAAATCAGCGGAACCGCAATTAAATTACAATCTACTACTTCAAATATTTTAACAGAGGGCTCAGTGCGATACAGCAAAAACCTACAATATTCAAAATAAACAACTAAAGGCCAAACTTCTCTGATTGAAGGAGGACTTCGTGACGCAGATAAATAATCACAACTTTGACCTCTCAGTCGATCTCACCTCCGGCAGATCAGGTGAAGTGTCAAAAATATATAATTTCATGTCGAAGAACCATAATCTATGATCTTCAACTATTAAAGAAAATAAAAAAAATTGTGATATGACGCCACATTGTGCTTTTGTCTTAGCTTGTGGGTAAAATTTTGTTATTAATTGGAGTCGCAAGTCGAGTAATGAAGACTATAGATAAAGTAAGACTGCAAATAAAGCGTGAACAATAACACGTCCTTTGGTCGAAAGTCGCTTTGTTATTTACGCGGCAAGTGGTTCTTCCACGTTTAGGTTATAACAACGATGCGATTACACGGCGTCAATGAAGAAACGATAGAACTTCAAGGAATCAAAGTAATGTGTGTGAGAGAAGCCAATGATCCGGTTTGCAATGACCATCGAGATGACAAGTTTTCCTGAAATCAGTTGGAGTTTGCTCGTTCTTTGTTACCGGAAAATACTGGTCAATTTTCCACTTACTCCAACCCCCTTGAATGAGTACTTTTGCTTGAAGACAGAACTACAACGGAGTCTATCGACCAGTCCCAAGCCGCGTATCGCTTGATAGATAACAGGATATGATTGGCCACTGTATCACATTACGTCAGAGGACATATCTACCATAAGGGGACAAAAGTGCACGTAGTACACGTATCAACTAAATCAGCTGCACATATCTTTCCAACACCGTCTACATAAACACGTCTATTTGAAAAGGTTCTACAAACAGGTTTATGCAATTCGTTAGCTAATTCATTAGTCCATTTAAAATTTTTTTGAAACTCCCTACCCCCAACCCAAGCTTTTGTTTGTTATTAATTATTGTCCTTGCTATCGTGCCCCATTTAGGCATGTCTTTGTAGGGTATTGAGTCTAGTTGAGAGACCATTTTACGGTTACAGACTCTTTTGTCCTTTCCCATGATAGGCGGCGACTTCATCTACCTTGCTTTTAGGCTTAACATGCCACTTTAAGACTTCACCAGTATCCTTATTGTATTCTAACTGTTTGCCTTTGTTTTACATTTGATGCAATATAGATTCATTTTGCAGATGACTTCCACGAACGTTTGTCTTAAAGTTGCATATTTAACTATTAGATTCTTCTATTTGAAGGGTTAAAATTTCTTTGGATCGTTTAGATTTCCTCCTCAAAAACGAAAAGTCAAAATGGTCCGAAATAGTGCCAATACACATGCACTTCATGTTAATTGTATTTAGTTTTTTCTTTCGACCACTGCAATACCGTTCACTCCGTTACGATGGAGATTTTGATATATTTTCATGTGGCGCAGTCAAGACTCAGCAATGAGCTTGCCACGAAACAACAAGTCATGAAAATTCAAATTTAACCATCAATCGAGGTTAAGTTTGCCTTCATCTTTTATGTTACTTACACTTCTTAACGTAAAATACAGCCAGGATGAAATAAAAGAATTGGATCTCAAAACGAGTTCACAGAAAGTCAATCACAATAAAATCACAGCTTTTGACTGGCCCGAGGGGAAGGGAGGGGGGGAAAAGAAGGAATCGCATGGTTTTCATGGGGAAGGGAGAAGAGGGGGGAGGACTTAAGAAAATTAACTGCAAATGAGAGGGGGGGGGAGAATCGTATTTCAGAACCTTAGGGGGGACTAGGTAAATGTTTTCGTGACACAACTAAAAAACCTTCAATCCCACCCTTCTCCCAAACGAGGAATAATAATTATGACCCTTCGTGGACATGACGTACGTCATTGAATTGATGTGTGGTAGAAAGGCCAATACTTTTATTTCCACCGTCTTTAAAGAAGTCTTCCTTTTCATTTGACCTCAACTTCTCATTAGCCTGCTCTTTTGACACTGTTTATTATAGATACATAAGCATATCACCATTAAGAGATCTGGTACTTTGTTGTTGACTCGTGCAAAACCAGATCATCCAACTGTGGCAAATTCAGTGATTTTAATTTAAAGTTGAGTCAATATGTCTTGAAACCACGCAAGTACCATTGCGACTCTTAAAGGACTATGTAAGTCAAAGAATACGCGAAAATAATTATCTTTAAAGCGGAAAAAAGTGCAGATAAACCTCAGTTTATGAAGTAAGCCACAACATAAACTTCGACCAACTTTCTCGAGTTTTTCTTCACAAGATCGTTCGGTAGCTATGCAAAATCAAACCTTGTCAAAATTTCCCTCGACAAGGAATTTAACATTTAATTTTCTATACACAATTATAATATGGCAATAGCAAATAAACAAAAAAAAAATCTTTTCAAAGATCAGAAAAATATTATTTGCCAACTTATACCGATAAGTGATGAAAATTCTAAAGAAGATAGGGTTTATGTCACACGATTGAGCACTTTCGTTTGTCTTTTCTGTGATGAGTTTGTCTGGTCTGTGATGTATCCTGCGTTGAAAACGGTGTAAATGGTGAGGAACTTAGAGACCTCTGAAACACTTTCATTGTGTCGCAAATTTTAAACTGTCGCTGAGCTCTTTCATCCCATGGAATTGAAATTTCAATTTTCAGCTTCCATTCATCGCTTTCTGGGTCGTAACATTGAACTCTTAACAGTCCCGTCACGCTTGGTCGATAATAGCCCAAAACATATACCTCGCCATCTACGGCAATCAAACCTAAAAATGCCTTTAGCCCCACGCTAAAGCTTCTAATAAAATGCCATTCATTTGTTGTTTCATTGTGCACTTCACACAGGAGTTCATCTTGGCCTGGTTTCATTTCATTTTTAGTCCATCCAGCAATATATATTTTTCCGTTCGCCGCTGCTCCCCAAAGCTGTTTCTGTCTCGCCGCCTGAATGTCTGCTGGTTGATCCCATTTTTTTTTGCAAAGATCGTACCTATAAACATCGCGTTGGGGCCCTCCTCCCCATGTTTCTGTACCACCAATGAAGTAAACGAAGTTTTCGCTGGGCACAACGCAATAATATCTTCTACAAGCCAGACCCTCAGTGAATAATACATCCTCCCATGAATTGGAATCTACTTTGTACTTAAAGATGACTATGCTGCATCTAGCCGGCCAGAGGATGTCGGTGACAGGCGGCCCCTTATGACGTAAGAACAAAGCATACATTTCGTCATTGTAAACGAAGAGTTTCTCTAAAACTAGGCCGTCATTTAATGGTGATAAAAACTTCCATCTGCAAGAGTGTGGATTATAACAAAAGATGCGAAGTTTCCGAGAATAACTTGCATTTGATGGTTCTCGCCTTGTACCGTACATTTTATTGCGACAAAAGAAAATACCATCGTCACTTTGCAAATATATTGGCTCTTTTTTATACCAACGGTCCTCGCGTGGAAAATAAAAAAGGTATTTTCCTTCCGTTTTGTAGGCGACAATTGCAGAGGAATCTAGACACTTTCTCGGTTTGCGATCAAGAGTATCAATTGTCAAACTCATCACTGAGTCGATTAAGTCGATGGCTCCTTTCGCGAGTTCCAGACAGTCTTCATTGTTTTTAACCAACTCATTTGTCACGACATCACTACAAAGAAAGTCACGTGATACGTAAACTAATCGAACTTGATGAAATAGCTCGGGAAAATGACTTCTTCGATTGTTTTTGTCGTGATTAATCCAGGCTAGAATGATACTGAACACATCTTCCTCGGCGTTAACATGTAGCTCATCGCTTGAAATAAAAATTGCAAGTTCCTCTTTGGACATTTGCAAAACATCTTCACGCTTCGCAGAGAATAATGCTCTGAAATTTGCAAGGATAAATATTTTGGTCTTGCATAAAAGTTCCTCGCAGTGATATTCATCAGCCAAATGGAAAATTGAAGTACAATTTGAAGTATTCAATTCTTTCAATAAGGTTTGCGTTGCCGGGGTCTTCAGGTTTTTGAGCAACAAGTAATCTGCTATCACAACCAAGTCTCTGGCATCATCTTCATCCAGTATCTGTACATTACCGGTGTAAATAAACTCCAATGTGTTTCTCATAACAGAGTCGGTGAAGATCTCCAAGCGAACCACCCCTTCTTTGGACTCCTTCATGTTGCTGTTCAGCAGCTTCTCAAAGAATGGACTCGCCCCTGAAAGAACTTTTCCATAAGCTCTTAACTCGCCATCTCTGACCACTAAAGTAACATCATAGGGCTGATCGAGTTCTTCTTTCGTGAACCACATTTTACTTGGGATTTCTCGCTGAGATATGCAAGAAGTCGATGAAATTGATGCCATCTGAAAAGGGAGTTTTCACTTTCCCGACTTAGGGCTGAGAGTCAAAGTCATCTGTAAATTTGCCCACTGATTTCTTCCGCTTTGCCATTTACATGTGCCAAATTACTATTGGTCTTCACTGCAATAGTCAAGTGGCAGTAGGTGGCTATCAAAGCCGACTTGTAATTCTAATCGTGTACGGTTTATGTGCTCTCGGTCGGATGTACGATGCGAGTTAACCCTTTGACCACTAAGAATGACTAACATCTAATTTCTCCTTACAATATCAGCCCTGAATCAAACATTAAGGTCATGAGAATAAAAGAAATGATCCCCAACTTAAGAGGCTTTTGACTGTAAAACAAATTCCCTTTGTCATCACCTTAGGAAACTTATAGAGAACAGTATGGAGAATATGGATGCTGATGTTAAGGTGTAAAGGATTTACATTGTATCTGCTTGAGGAATTTTTTGCGCCTTATTTTAGTGAATAATACCAAATAATAGCTCACTGAGATATTGCGTTGTACTCAAATCCTGCGGAGTCCCTTATTTGTGTCATAAGTGTACAGTGAAAAGAAATTATTTGTATTGTTGTGGTTTCTTGTTCTGTGAACCTTTGAGCGAGCGAAAAAGACGACAGTCTTAAGGGGGAAGGGGGGGGGGCTCGGGTTCAACAGATGGCTTTCTTGTTTGTTTGTTTTTTTCTTTTGTTTTGTTTTGTTTTTGCTCTCTTTTCCCCCAAGAACACGCGCGGACACGGAAAGGCGAAAAAGTTGTAAACGTATATCAGGAGGAACTGATCCCAGGAAATACCTGGTCACATACTTAAATTATCCTATACACTTGAAATGAACAGCAGTAGTTGTATTGACCAAGTTCCTTTTTTACTAAGCAACGACCACACAAAAGTAAACAAGAAAAAACCGCAACAGAAAAAAACTCAAAAGGTTGACTCAAACACTCAGTCAGCAGAATCCGCTAACACTGTTTTGTTCTATGCCACGCTGGCCTTAGGCAATGCTCACGCCTCACTTAAGTGACAAAATATGAGGAAGGACTCGCTTTAAGCGAAAGCTCCTATTCTACGGGCAGATTTATAAAACTATCCTCAATGCTACGCGAAGACTAGTTAGTTAAAAACCTATAGTTCATTGTACCAGTAAACCCACAAAAAACCTGAACGTTTCACAATTATTTCATATAGAAAAGAAACCGCAATTCCTATCGACTCAGCGCATAGCAGCCAATAGTAATATTCGGTCGACACGAGAGAAGCTCTTATATCTTTTGCCTTCGGCTCTCGATTTGCGAACTTTGTTCCTGTTCTCTCAAAGCTCCTTAATGAATCCCGCGTGGGTTATAGCGTCAATAACCCGGGAGAAAGTGCGTTTTATCATCTTAAATATATAGCAAAGACACTCTTGATTACAACCATCTTTCAACTTTGTCAACACCTCAGAAGGTGCCTGGTTGCGCAAGAGATACTTAAAGCTTGTAATGCGCGATAGAAAAAAGTCAGTATTTTAAAGTATTTAACCAGCTTCACCGCAAACTTGCGGTACGTCAGTAAACCTGTATACGCCATAGGTATGAAGTAACTGAGGGTCAGTCGTGCTACAGAACATTTGGATGACGTACTAACATCTCTTATTTTTACTAGGATGTCTCTCTGTTCCATCACCTCAGCTATATGAGGGCTAAATCGGTAATGGTTTGCACTACCATAAGTGGTCTTGATAACTTGGAATTCATCTATACTATGAAGAGTTCTGACCGTGCCTTCTTGTTCAAGCGTCTAGTTCTTCATATAATCCCGCCATTCTGCGGCTTTAAACGCGAAATGGTACACTTCTCCATTTACTCTGTAGGAGGATCCAGCCGCTTGCCGTAACGTGGCAAAGTCAATAGCTTCATCAAGGTCATCTGTGAAGTGAACTCCTTCGCCCAAACGTGCCTCACGGCCATCCAAACTGTATGGGTTTTTACCTTTATTCACGCCTCGGTAAAGTGTTCCATCTTTTGGCTTTGACGAGTGAATAATTTCACCTTCCCCTTCGCTAAGTGCGGTCTTCCAAGCATGGGTTATTGATGATCCACTGCATCCTAAAGGTCTGCCTGTTACACCCGTGCCGCCACTCGACTCTCCTTCATCTGAAACACCTTCTGTTCTCTCGTCTTCTCCTTCGCTTATCTCTGTAGCTGATATATACACCCATTCACCGAAATCACTATCTGCTTCGCTTTCACCACTTTCTGTTTGACCCTCCTCAAATTCTATTCGGAACTCATCTCTATCGGCTCTTGTCACGGATGATGACGCACCCAGAACCTCGCTGTTTTCTCCACATTCGAACTTCGCCAAGTCATGATGGTCATGTGGATGGGTAACTTTGCCTCCTTTAAACAGAGTTCCGACATCATACACTCCTATTCCGTCCATGATGGGGGACATTACACCCTCCACCACGCCCCCGATAATCGTCTGTGGGTCTTTACCCGTGGCAACATTAGTCCAAGCTTTGATTTGTCCGGCTGGAGTATACTTCCCTTCTACAGCCGACTCTACTCCAGTTGTTATGCCATCCATCACAGCTCCCCCTGCGATACCCCCGGCAACCATTCCCACTGGACCACCGGATACCCCTAGAACGCCCCCTACGACAACCCCGGTTGACCTTGAAGCCTTCTTCATTGCCTCATTCCCACTCTTTCTGTCCCCGATGGCATAGTGTATTCCACCTTTGATGTGCCCTATCACAGGCATGCCATTGGCTACTTCAGTGGTGGTGTGAATGACCACTTTGCCAGACTCGACCGCAGCTTCAGCCGTATGCTTTGCTAACTTGACGACAGTCTTATTCAAGGTATCCACCCGTCCAAAAGTGACTCCAGAAGCGGCTGCCACGGCACCTGTTGCTACGGCAGAGCCTACCGTTTCTCCAACGTGACGCACAACCGTCTTAGAAGCGGCACTTCCCGTAAACTTGGCGCATTCGACCGCAGCATTATTCAGAGCATCAACCTGACCAAACGTAACTCCAGCGGCAACTGAAGTGGCACCAGTTGCGATTGCTCCTCCGACTGTACTCACTTCGTTTCCCATCTCTCTTTATATTTAAATCTAAAACCAAGAGAATATAATATAGTTTATTTTTTTTTGCTGAGACAAAATCGAAGACAACAAAAAAGCGTGGGAGGAGAGAGTGAGGTAAAGGATGGTGGAGTTACTTCATTCAAGATTAAGAAAACGGGATAAGCTATAGCAATAAATACAGATCAGCCTTAGAGAACTAACATCCTTTATGCTCTCTGTCTACAAGATGGCAATCAAACTCAAGTTTGTTTGGTTAGTTACCATCAAATGCGAATTTGGGCCGAAACTCCAATTGATTGTTCAACTGTCTGCTCCACTAATGAAACAATTTTTTTCGCCCTTAAAAGTTCGTTTGTTTTTTTCTTTTTCTAGCTCTTAAGTCCAAAAGCTGTTGCGTTTGCGTGACTGTTGTCCTAGCGTGACATTGGAGGAAACGGATTCTGTTTTGATTAGATCTGACTTTTTCGGTTTTTTTTGTTTTTCTTTTCTAACCAACAAAATTCAAGGATTTCCCAATTTTTTTTACAAACATTTATCAAATGTCAACAAAGAACTGATTAGCACACACGAGCACAAGATTTCGATCAATGGAAACACTTTCCTGTGAATGTAATTATCTGTTTGATCGGTCAAACCATTAAAATCCCCCCTCCCCCTACGTCTCTATTTTAAATGGGGACAGAGAGCACTAAATCACAAGCATTGTTGATAATTTGGGGTAATAACATTTTTAACGTAATGTCTATTCAGAAATTCCGTCAAGTGTCACCGCGGTTTGAGGAATTACCATTAACGACTGTTTTATCTAACTACTTGAGAACAAAAGTTGCTATTTACAACGAAAAGTTTCGACATATTCTGCCCAACACTTAAGTATGCTCGACTTTCCCTTGATCGTCGGACAAGCTCTGTGCTGTCTTTTGAGTGAACAATTCGGGTGTATATGAAATGGCGAAAAACTGAATTTGGACATCATTTCGACTCATCACCTCTCCGAAATCATCAAAAACAACACGAATCGCTCGCGGATTCCGTTATTCTCTTCTTCATTTGCACCTAAAATTTAATTTAGTTAAAATGGCGATGAAAAATTTTAACATAGGGACATTTGCGTTTACAGATGCGTCGAATTTAAGCGACTTAATTTGTGTTTTGAAATGAATTTTCGTCAAGCTAACACTCACCTGTTTTTTAGTATTCCAGCTGTGTCTTCTACCTCAAAAAGAGTCTTCCCACTATGGAAAACAACACTGGAAAGCTATGATACAGAAAGTTGATAGCGTTGAAACCGAGGCCGACGTGGTAATGAAATGCGCACTTCTTCCGATGTTTACGTGAATCTTCGGGATTTTGCCGATGACATCCACGAGCTTTTGCCCTAAAATTTCATTCTTAACTACTTGATTCTGTCAAAGTATTCTTTTGACTGTCATATCACGGAGAAGTCACAGAGTTTTTCCCAAAACGGTTGGCTCAAAGCTCCCGGCTCTGTTTGTTTGATGCAGTATCTCGTAAGACATCTGAACTCCAGGAAACTGGAGACTAGTAAGATATCTCCCATAGTCCATGACCTTGTGTTTTCTTTCGTTTCCTTCAGAAAGATTCCCTTAGATGCTCTTCACTCCGGTAATGTTAACTTATAATCTTCACCTAAATATTTTGAGAAGTAACTGAATAGTGCGATTGAAAGAAAGTATTTTCCTTGAGTATCTCACAAGCCCTAGCCATCTTGAATAAATTTACAACTAATGTTAGATTTGATTGGTCAAACCAATCGAGTCCATGGATCCTATTTCTAAACGACTAATTAAACGACTAATAAACTTGATTCTATTTTTCCCATGGTTCTTAGGAGCGTCCAAAGTATGTTTTTTGGTAATTAGTCCAGAAGAGCATGAGTTGACGACAATCGGGAGGTCCCGAAATGACCTGTTTGCTTGCACTTTTAAACTTCTTGGTTAGTCACATAGTCGAAGATCTAAAGGCGAACATATGCAGTGTAAATTCACGGCTGAGCACTTTGTGTTTTAAGGCCAATTATAAGTCTGTATATTGGTAGGTCGGTGAACGCTGTGTCTATGATGCTAAAGAATGTTCTATCAATGTCGAACATCTGGGCGTATCCTGAGTGGTAACAGATACAAAACTTTTCAATTTTGAATTGTCGAGCCAACCTTTGAAAATTCTCATTGAACAAACGTTCAGTACAGAAGACATCCTCGTCAGGAGTTTGTTCGGACTCCATCTGTTCCTCTCAAAGTCACTTTCAATCAAAGCATACACCTCGTCATCGACAGTCACGAAGTTTATAATTCTATTTGGATAAGATCCTTCGTTGAAGCCTTTGATGAGGTGCCATTCATTTGTTTCTTCATCGTAAATTTCACACTGATTCACTTGTGCACCCCTCTTAACACCGCCAGCGATGATAACTTTCCCGTTTCCTGCAGCACCATTAGCCGCTTTCTTGATATTTGAAGACCTGTTAGTTTTTCCCACTGGTCTGTGTTAAGGTCGTACCTGTCTACATCATTCAGAAACTCGCACTCGCGTCCGTGCCATTCTATTCCGCTTATGAAATAATGAAATTTTCATGGGCCACAATGGTAAAATGCTGTCTCACATCCAAGTGATTGAAAGATGCGATTTCTTTCCACTTATGTAATTCAGATTTATATCGCATAATGAAGGAAACATGTTTCTCTCCGGTTCCTTCCTTGGCACGTTGTCGGCCGAAGAGACGTTTTTAGTGTCTTCTTCCATTTCAAATCCGCCAACCACGATAGTGATCCCAACCACATCGTTCCAAGAACAAAGCAAACATTTCATCTTTATTGTTGACAAATATCCTCCAAAGACATGTGTTTCCCTCTGAGACTGGTAACAAGGTCCAAGCGTTCGAGTAGGGATCGTAGCATGACATAGGCAGTCTACAGATATCTTGTGGGTATTCAACTGACCCTATTCTTGTGCTGTACAACTTACCATTGCAGGAAAAAGTTCGGCTAGCTCTCAACTCTGAAGTCCTCTTGTCACCTAAAGTATACTAGCTATTTTCACGAGGAAAAAATATTTTTGACTGTTGGTGATTAAAACAGGTGTTTCAAAAACCTTTCTAGGCGTGTAATGGAGATTATCCGTGAGATTTTCAAAGTTCTTAGAGTCGAATATACTGATAGCTTTATAAACGACATCCAGATTCATAGCCTTTGACCAGTTCATTTGTCACGACATCATTGCACAGAAAGTCACGCGATATGTGTAGCAGTCGAACGTGACGAAACAACTCCGCGAAGTAATTCTGTCGCTTTCTTTTTGCGTGATGAATCCAGGCAAGAATGGTGTCAAACACATCTTCCTCGGTGCTCAACATTGAAAGTTCCTTGATCGACATTCTCAAAAAATTCTCACGATTCTGAGTGAATAAGGAGGTGAAATTTGAGAGGGTAAAAGTTTTGGTCTTAGAGACAAGTTCCTCGCGGTGATATCCATCGGCAAAACGGAAAATTGAAATAAAATTCGAAATATTACATTTTTTAAATAAAACTTAGGCTGCCAAAATCTTTAACTTCGGTAGAAGCAAATAATCTGCTATCACAACCAAGTCTCTGGCATCATCTTCATCCAGTATCTGTACATTACCGGTGTAAATAAACTCCAATGTGTTTCTCATAAGAGAGTCGGTGAAGATCTCCAAGCGAACTACTCCTTCTTTGGACTCGTTCATGTCGCTGTTCAACAGCTTTTCAAAGAAAGAACTCGCCTCTTAAAGAACTTTTTTATGAGCTTTGAACTTGCCATCTCTGACTCCCAAAGTAACATCGCACGGCTGATTGAGTCCATCGTTTGAGAGGAACACTTTGCCAGAGATTTCTTGTGTTGGAACAACTTTGTGCGATGTTAGAACAGTATGGGGGATCGATGCCATTTTTTGTTTGGAATTGATGATTAAATTGTTTTTCGTTCTGCGACTCAATGCTGACTCATAATTGCACTTACTTTGAATTTCACCGCCAGTAATATTGCCTCGACTCTTCATCCAATTAGAAACAAATGAATTGGGTCGGACTTATTCTGATAGTAAGAGGGACAGGCGCATTGAACATTTTTACCACCCTTGGTCCCCTCTCCTTCCCCGCTTTTTTCTTTCTAACTTCTTAGTGGCTTCTAAATATTTCTACAGAAAGGTTTTGTAGTCTCCAGGTTTGAATTTGAATTTCGTCTCCATTTTAAAACATGAATTAAATTTTGACCTGCAGCTGAGTTTGCAAGACCGGTAGTTGCTTCTAAACATCACTCAGCTAAGTCAACCCTCTTTTTAAACACTGCATTTATGTTCTTCAACGCTTGAAAAAAATAAAACAAGTTGACTTGTGCCACAATACATATTTCCTCTCTCAAGATCAAATACTAAATTGGACTTTGTTTTTATTTCCCGGTTGCCTTGTACTTTGTGATAAATTCTTTCTCGGCCATTTGAAGGATGAAAATTTCTCTGGATCATTTTGATTTCCTCCTCAAAAACAAAAAGTCAAAATGGTCCGAAATAGTGCCAATACACATGCACTTCATGTTAATTGTATTTAGTTTTTTCTTTCGACCACTGCAATACCGTTCACTCCGTTACGGTAGAAATTTTGTTATATTTTCATGTTTCGCTGTCATGACTCAGCAATGAACTTGCCACGAAACAACAAGTCATGGAAATTCAAATTTAACCATCAATCGAGGTTAAGTCTGCGTTCATCTTTTATGTTACTTACACTTCCTAACGTAAAATACAGCCAGGATGAAATAAAGAGTTGGATCTCAAAACGAGTTCTCAGAAAGTCAATCATGATAAAATCACAGCTTTTGACTGGCCTGGGTGGGGGGGGAGGGAATAAATCACATGGTTTCCATGGGGGAAGGGAGAAGGGGGGAGAATTAAAAAATTAACTGAAAATGAGAGGGGGGGAGAATTGTAAGAATATTACAGCACCTTAGGGGGGGACTAGGTAAATGTTTTCGTGACACAACTAAAATCCTTCAATCCCACCCTTCTCCCAGACGAGGAATAATAATTATGACCCTCGTGAACATGACGCACATGTCATTGAATTGATGTGTGGCAGACAGGCCAATAGTTTAATTTTGACCTCAACTTCTCATTAGCCTGCCCTTTTGACACTGTTTATTATAGATACATAAGCATATCACCATTAAGAGATCTGGTACTTTCTTATTGACTCGTGCAAAACCAGATCATCCAACTGTGGCAAAGTCAGTGACTTTCATTTTAAGTTGAGTCAATATGTCTTGAAACCACGCAAGTACCATTGCGACTCTTAAGAAACTATGTAAGTCAAAGACTACATGAAAATAATCATCTTCGAAGCGGAAAAAGTGTAGATAAACCTCAGTTTATGAAGTAAGCCACAACATAAACTTAGACCAACTTTCTTGAGTTTTTCTCCACAGGATCGTTCGGTAGCTATGCAAAATCAAACCTTATCAAAATTTCCCCTGACGAGGAATGTAACATTTAATTGTCTTTACACAATTGTAATATGGCAATAGCAAATAAATAAAAAAAAAATCTTTTCAAAGATCAGAAAAATAATATTTGCCAATCTATACCGACAATTGATGAAAATTCTAAAGAAGGTAGGGTTTATGTCACACGATTGAGCACTTTCGTTTGTCTCTTCTGTGATGAGTTTGTCTGGTCTGTGATGAATCCTGCGTTAAACACGGTGTAAATTGTGAGGAACTTAGAGACCCCTGAAACACTTTCATTGTGTCGCAAATTTTAAACTGTCGCTGAGCTCTTTCATGCCATGTAATTGAAATTTCAGTTTTCAGCTTCCATTCATCGCTTTCGGGGTCGTAACATTGGACTCTTAACAGTTCCGTCACGCTTGATCGATCATAGCCCACAACATATACCTCGCCATCTACGGCAATCAAACCTAAAAATACCTCTCGCTCCACGCTAAAGCTTCTTATAAACTGCCATTCATTTGTTGTTTCATTGTACACTTCACACAGGAGTTCATCTTGGCCTGGTTTCATTTCATTTTTAGTCCATCCAGCAATATATATTTTTCCGTTCGCCGCTGCTCCCCAAAGCTGGTTCTGTCTTGCTGCCTGAATGTCTGCTAGTTTATCCCATTTTTTTCTGCAAAGATCGTACCTATAAACATCACGTAAGAGCCTTCCTCCAGATATTTCCGTACCGCCAATGAAGTAAACGAAGTTTTCGCTGGGCACAACGCAATAATGTCTCCTATAAGCCAGACCCTCTATTAACAATACGTCCTCCCATGAATTGGAATCTACTTTGTACTTTGAGATGATGTTGCCGCTTTCCTTTTCAAAACGACATCCACCAGACCAGAGGGCGTCGGGGACAGACCGCCACTTATGAAATAAGAACAAAGCATACATTTCATCATTGTAAACGAAGAGTTTCTTCAAAAGTGTGTTGTTATCAAATGATTGTAAAGACTTCCATCTATAAGAGTGTGGATTAAAACATAAGATGCGAAGTCCCCAATTATAACTTCTATTTGATAGCTCACGCCTTGTACAGTACATTTTATCGCGACAAAAGAAAATACCGTCGTCACTTTGCAAATATATTGGTTCCTTTTTATACCACTTATCCTCGCGTGGAAAATAAAAAAGGAATTTTCCTTCCGTTGTGTAGGCGACAATTGCAGAGTACTCTAAACACTTTCTCGGTTTGCGATCAAGATTATCAAGTTCATCAACACTGTTAGAGTCGATTAATTCAATAGCTCCTTTCGCAAGTTCCAGACAGTCTTCATTGTTTTTAACCAACTCATTTGTCACGACATCATTACAGAGAAAGTCACGCGATATGTAAACCAGTCGAACTTGACGAAATAGCTCGGGAAAATGACTTCTTCGATTGTTTTTGTCGTGATTAATCCAGGCTAGAATGATACTTAACACGTCTTCCTCGGCGCTAACATGTAGCTCATCGCTTGAAATAAAAATTGCAAGTTCCTCTTTGGTCATTTTCAAAACATCTTGACGCTTTGCAGAGAATAATGCACTGAAATTTGCAAGGACAAACATTTTGGTCTTGCGTAAAAGTTCGTCGCAGTGATATTCATCAGCCAAGTGGAAAATTGAAATACAATTTGAAGTGTTCAATTTCTTAATCAAGGCTTGCGTTGCCGGGGTCTTTAGGTTCTGGAGCAACAAGTAATCTGCTATCACAATCAAGTCTCTAGCATCATCTTCATCCAGTATCTGTACATTACCGGTGTAAATAAACTCCAATGTGTTTCTCATAGCAGAGGCGGTGAAGATCTCCAAGCGAACCACTCCTTCTTTGGACTCCTTCATGTCGCTGTTCAGCAGCTTTTCAAAGAAAGGACTCGCCTCTGAGAGGACTTTTCGGTGAGCTTTGAAGTCGCCATCTCTGACGACTAAAGTGACATCATAAGGCTGATCGAGTTCTTCTCTAGTGAACCACACTTGAATTGGGATTTCTCGATTTGAATTAACTCGCTGAGATATGCAAGCAGTCGGTGAAATCGCTGCCATCTTAATTTTTTCAACTGAATAGGGAATTTTCAATTTCACGACTCAAGGCTGATGGGCAAGGTCATCTGTGAATTTGCGCACTGGTTTCTTCCGCTGTCATTTGCATGTGCCAAATTACCATTCGTCTTCACTGAAATTGTCAAGTGGCAGTACGTGGCTATCAAAGCCAACTTGTTATTCCGATCACGTACTGTTTGTGTGCTCTCAGCCGGATGTACGATGCAAGTTAACCCTTTGATCCTTAGGAGTGACTAGCATCTAATTTCTCCTTACAATATCAGCCCTGAATCAAACATTAAGATCATGAGAATATAGGAAATGATCCCCAACTAAAGAGGCTTTTGACTGTAAAACAAATTCCCTTTGTCATCACCTTAGGAAACTTATAGAGAACAGTATGGAGAATATGGATGCTGATGTTAAGGTGTAAAGGATTTACAGTGTATCTGCTTGAGGAATTTTTTGCGCCTTATTTTAGTGAATAATACCAAATAATAGCTCACTGAGATATTGCGTTGAACTCAAATCCTGCGGAGTCCCTTATTTGCGTCATAAGTGTGCAGTGAAAAGAAATTATTTGCATTGTTGTGGTTTCTTGTTCCGTGAACCTTCGAGCGAGCGAAAAAGACGACAGTCTTAAGGAGGAAGGGGGGGAGCTTGGGTTGAAACAGATAGCTTTCTTGTTTGTTTGTTTTTTTTCTTTTGTTTTGTTTACTTTTTGCTCTCTTTTTCCCCAATAACACGCGCGGACACAGAAAGGCGAAAAAGTTGTAAACGCATATCAGGAGGAACTGATCCCAGTAAATACCGGGTCACATACTTAAATTATCAGTCCTATACACTTGAAATGAACAGCAATAGTTGTATCGACCAAGTTCCTTTTTTACTAAGCAACGACCACACAAAAGTAAACAAGAAAAAACCGCAACAGAAAATAAACTCAAAAGGTTGACTCAAACACTCAGTCAGCAAAATCTGCCAACATTGTGTTGTTCTATGCCACGCTGGCCTTAGGCAATGTTTAGTTGCTCACGCCTCACTTAAGTGACAAATTATGAGGAAGGACTCGCTTTAAGCGAAAGCTCCTATTCTACGGGCAGATTGATAAAACTATCCTCAATACTACGCGAAGACTAGTTAGTTAAAAACCTACTGTTCATTGTTCCAGTAAACCCACAGAAAACCTAAACGTTTCACAATTATTTCATATAGGAAAGAAACTGTAATTCCTATCGACTCAGTGCATAGCAGCCCACAGTTATATTCGATCGACACGAGAGAAGCTCTTCTATCATTTGCCTTCGGCTCTTGATTTGTGAACTTTGTTCGTGTTCTCTCAAAGCTCCTCAATGAATCCCGCGTGGATTATAGCGTCGATAACCAGAGAGTTTTATTATCTTAAATGTATAGCAAACGCCCTTTATTACAACCACCTTTCAACTTTGTCAACACCTCGGAAGATGCCTGGTTGCGCAAAAGATACTTAAAGATTGTAATGCGCGATAGAAAAAAGTAAGTATTTTAGAGTATTTAACCAGTTTCACCGCAAACTTGCGGTACGTTAGTAAACCTGTATACGCCATGGGTATGAAGCGACTGAGGTTCAGTCATGTTAAAGAACATTTGGATGAGGTACTAACATCTCTTATTTTTACCAGGGTGTCTCTCTGTTCCATCACCTCAGCTATATGAGGGCTAAATCGGTAATGGTTTGCACTACCATAAGTGGTCTTGATAACTTGGAATTCATCTATACTATGAAGAGTTCTGACCGTGCCTTCTTGTTCAAGCGTCCAGTTCTTCATATAATCCCGCCATTCTGCGGCTTTAAACGCGAAATGGTACACTTCTCCATTTACTCTGTTGGAGGATTCAGCCGCTTGCCGTAACGTGGCAAAGTCAATAGCTTCATCAAGGTCATCTGTGAAGTGAACTCCTTCGCCCAAACGTGCCTCATGGCCATCCGCACTGTATGGGTTTTCACCTTTATTCACGCCTCGGTAAAGTGTTCCATCTTCTAGCTTTGACAAGTGAATAATTTCACCTTCTCCTTCGCTAAGTACGGTTTTCCAAGCATGGATTATTGATGATCCACTGCATCCTAAAGGTCTGCCTGTTACACCCGTGCTGCCACTCGACTCTCCTTCATCTGAAACACCTTCTGTTCTCTCGTCTTCTCCTTCGCTTATCTCTGTAGCTGATAGATACACCCATTCACCGAATTCACCATCTGCTTCGTTTTCACCACTATCTTTTTTTATTTCCTCGACTTCTGTTTGACTCTCCTCAAATTCTGTTTCCCTTGCCTCCCCTGCTGAATGCTTCATCCTTCTAGAGACTCCACCCTTTTCGTCACTTCCTAGACCTTCTGCTTCCCTTCCCTCACCAACTAATCGACCCACTCCCTCAGCGACTTCACTCGATCTATCTTCTGCTTCCCTTCCATTGGTGTGTGATTGATCCTCACCTCTATCGGTTCCTGTAACGGCTGATGACGCACCCGGAACCTCGCTGTTTTCTCGTTCCGCCTTGGAATGATTTGATGCAGGTTTTGACTTTTCGGAATCGGATTCAATTGGAACTTCTACATGTTCGAACTCCGCCAAGTCGTGATGGTCATGTGGATGCGTAACTCTACCTCCTTTAAACAGAGTTCCGACATCATACCCTCCTACTCCGTCCATAATGGGGGACATAACACCCCCCACCACGCCCCCGATAATCGTCTGTGGGTCTTTACCCGTGGCAACATTAGTCCAAGCTTTGATTTGTCCGGCTGGAGTATACTTCCCTTCTACAGCCGACTCTACTCCAGTTGTTATGCCATCCATCACAGCTCCCCCTGCGATACCCCCGGCAACCATTCCCACTGGACCACCGGATACCCCTAGAACGCCCCCTACGACAACCCCGGTTGACCTTGAAGCCTTCTTCATTGCCTCATTCCCACTCTTTCTATCCCCGATGGCATAGTGTATTCCACCTTTGATGTGCCCTATCACAGGCATGCCATTGGCTACTTCATTGGTGGTGTGAATGACCACTTTGCCAGACTCGACCGCAGCTTCAGCCGTATGCTTTGCTAACTTGACGACAGTCTTATTCAAGGTATCCACTCGTCCAAAAGTGGCTCCAGAAGCGGCTGCCACGGCACCTGTTGCTATGGCAGAGCCAACTGTTTCTCCAACGTGACGTACAACCGTCTTTGAAGCGGCACTTCCCGTAAACTTGGCGCATTCGACCGCAGCATTATTCAGAGCATCAACCTGACCAAACGTAACTCCAGCGGCAACTGAAGTGGCAGCGGTGGCGATTGCTCCTCCGACTGTACTCACTTCGTTTCCCATCTCTCTTTATATTTAAATCTAAGACCAAGAGAATATAATATAATTTATATTCTATTGCTGTTACAAAATCGAAGACAACGAAAAAGCGTGGGAGGAGAGGGTGAGGTAAGGGACGGTGAACTTACTTCTTTGAAGATTAAGAAAACGGGATAAGCTATGGCAATAAATATAGATCAGCCTCAGAGAACTAACATCCTTTATGCTCTCTTTCTACAGGATGGCAATCAAACTCAATTTTGTTTGGTAAATTACCATCAAATGCGAATTTGGGTCGAAACTTCAATCGATTGCAGTGTTCAACTGTCTGCTCCACTAATGAAACAATTTCGTTCGCCCTTAAAAGTTCGTTTGTTTTTGCTTTTTCTAGCTCTAAGTCTAAAAGCTGTTGCGTTTGCGTGACTGTTGTCATAGCGTGACATTGGAGGAAGCGGATTCTGTTTGGTTTGGATTTGACTTTTTCGGTTTTTTTTTTGTTTTTCTTTTCTAATCAACAAAATTCAAGGATTTCCTAATTTTTTTTTTTTTTACAAACATTTAACAAATGTCAACAAAGAACTGATTAGCATACACAAGCACAAGATTTCGATCAATGGAGACACTTTCCTGTGAATGTAATTATCTGTAATAGTCGTGTTGTCCTGGCCTTTTTGACCGGTCAAACCATTAAAATCCCCCCCCCCCCACGTCTCTATTTTAATTAGGGACAGAGAGCACTCAATCACTAGCATTGTTGATATTTGGGGTAATAGCATTTTTAACGTAATGTCTATTCACAAATTCCGTCAAGCGTCACCGCGATTTGACGAATTACCATTAACGACTGTTTTAACTAACTACTTGAGAACAAAAGTTGCTATTTACAACGAAAAGTTTCTACATATTCTACCCAACACTTCGGTATGCTCGACTTTCCCTCGATCGTCGGGCAAGCACTGTGCTGTCTTTTGAGTGAACTATCCGGGTGTATATGAAATGGCGGAAAACTGAATTTGGCTATCATTTCGACTCATTACCTCTCCAAACTCATCACAAACAACACGAATCGATCGCGGATTCCGTTATTCTCCTCTTCATTTGCACCTAAAATTTAATTTAGTTAAAATGGCGATGAAACATTTTAGCATAGGGACATTTGCGTTTACAGAAGCGTTGAATTTAAGCGAGATAATTTGTGTTTTGAAATAAATTTTCGTCAAGCTTACACTCACCTTTTTTGTGTATTCCAGCTGTGTCGTCTGCCTCAAAAAGAATTTTCCCACTATGGAAAACAATACTGGAAAGCTACGATACAGAAAGTCGATAACGTTGAAACAGAGGCCGACTTGGTAATGAAATGAGCACTTCTTCCGATATTTACAGGAACCCTCGGGATTTTGCCGTTGACATCCACGAGCTTTTTCCCTAAAATTTCATTTTTAACTACTTGATTCTGTCAAAATATTCTATTGATTGTCATATCACGGAGAAGTCACAAAGTTTTTCCCAAAATGAATGGCTCAAAGCTCCCGGCTCTGTTTGTTTTGATGCGGTATCACGTAAGACATCTGAACGCGAGGAAACTGGAGACTAGTAAGATATCTCCTATAGTCCGTGATCTTGTGTTTTCTTTCGTTTTCTCCAAGAAGATTCCCTTAGATATTCTTACCTTCAGCAATATTCAGTTATAATTTTCACCTAAATATATAGAGAAGTAGCTTACTAGTGCGATTGAAAGAAAGTATTTTCCTAAAGTATTTCACAAGCCTTAGCCACCTTGAATAAATTTGCAACTAACGCAAGATTTGATTGGTCAAACCAATCAATTTCGCGAATCCTATTTCTAAACGGCCAATCATAAACTAGATTCTATTTTTCCCATGGTTCATAGGAGAGGAACGAAGCACATGAGACTTCGCTGTCTACAGAAAGATATTTCGTTGTAGTTGCAGTTATTCTACCTTTTTTTGACTGAAGCTGAATTTGATTTCGCTTGAGAACAGAGGGCATTGGTCGGAAGGAAAATGACGGCCTTTCTTCCGCCGAATCTTCTAGCCTTATTCGCTCCACGCGATCCAATCCCATATTTAACGCCTTTGGATAAACCTGCTTGGTTGAAACGACCATGGCCGTACTCGGGCATTGCTAAGTTCGTCAGAGAATTCGAGGTGAGAAAATTGTGGCAAACATTCTGTTTTGTGCATTATTGAGATATCGGAAATGATTATTATTATCTGAATGTTTCTATAAAGTCATTTTTTAAAGCCAAAACAAAGTAAAGCTTCTGAGTTGATGTTGATCGATGAAATGTGAGTTGGGGAACTTCAAGGTTTTGCTGAAGTTGATTATTCCATAGCATCTACCGCAGCTGTTTACACATTCCAACTCATAGCTAAATCTTTGGCTATATTTGCTTTTAAAATCGCTGTGTTAAGTACTGCAGTTCTTGTGAAAGAAACCCCGTCACGAAGATCAGGATTTATTTGTTTGGCGTCATTTTTGCCAGCCCAAACTTGTTTTAATTGTGTCATTCAAGTAATAATGCTCAAAGGAACTTGAGCTATCTTAAAGAAATGCTAAGGTTCATTAAGGGGAAGTTATGATTACCAGTAGCAGCTTTAAATGCTCTTTCCTCTCCCAACTGAATCACAACTTTTTGACTCGTTACTACATGCAAAAGTGAGAAGCATTATTTAAAGAAAGTAGGAAATGAATGGAACAACAATAATTATAGTTTCATAAAACTAGGATTAGATTTGGTATAAGCAAATTTCCAGGTCTACCTTAACCCTTTGTCCCCTTAGAGTGATTGGCATCTAATTTCTCCTAACAACCTCACCCCTGAATCTCACATTAAAGTCATGAGAATAAAGTAAATAATCTCTAACTTAAGAACTCTTGATTGTTAGCATTGTAGGGATGTAAAGGATTAATGTTGTGTCTCTTGTTTGTTTACTCTTTGCATTTCATGGCATTTTAAGCTCTCTTTTGTCATGGTGTGCTAGACTTTTGTCCCTTCCTAGTTTACTTGTTTGCCACAGTATACACTGTAGTATGCTCAGACTACCTGAACTAGAAGAGAAATTTCTTATCAAAAACATAATGTTAATTGTGCAGTGCAATGCACCCTACTCCACTCACACCTACTCCACTCACAACAGTCTAACATTGTGGTCAGGTGGTCAGTAATTGAGCTGAGAATTTGATTGATGGCAACCAAGATATAGAGGCTAGTGGTAGAAGGCAGCTAGTGCAATGACTAGAGAAATGAATGAATAATTGGTTGTAAACTGTGTCTTTTAAAACTAGAACTTCACAAAGCCTATCGTAAGATTTAGTGAAGTGACCCTTAGCTGATATTTTATTTAATATCACTTGTTCACAGGATCCAAAAGAAACTCCCCCTCCAACACGTGGAGAAACAAGAGATGAAAAAACAGAACGCAAGGTACATATAAAGTATCTTTATGAAAACATTTTTCATATACTGTAGAGAAATGTGGAGCAAGAGTTAATTCACATGAAGAATGGTTAGGTAATCCTTTTTCAGGAGGAATTGATTGAAAAAGAATTCCAGAAATCAGTACAGATGAATTGTATTGAATTGTGTCCTTTTTAATGCCAGATTATTGAAGTTTAGGGTAAAGGCTCTTTTCAGCTTTGTTAAGTTAGGTGCTAAATGTCTTCTGATATAATTAAAATTGATTTTTAGAGAAAAGAAAAAATAGAACGTACGACAAAGTTTCAAGAAGAGCAGATGGAGCAATGTAAGTAGCTTTACAAAATGCAGTCTAAAATATTGTTTTTTGTTAAGATTGTTTTTGTTGTTGTGGCATCTGTCTGATTATTTGTGATTTCATGATTCCCAATGCTAGAGTAATTTCTCTGATGTAAGAGAAATCTCTTACATGGGATTACATTGCAATTTAAGTGTTTGCAGGGTTGGGTGTGCTCATGGGAGCTCAGCTAGGAAAGGTTGCTGATTCATCTACAGGATTTTTGCAGATACTTGGATTGTGAAGTCAAGAACTGCCTGTGGAGATCAGTAGATCCTCTGTACTACTTGCATGTTCCTGCTTAAAACTTTTGAGAAGGGCTATATGGTTACATTCCTGAGTTTGAATTTCATTTCTTTACAGCTCTTTGTTTCCTTTTTATCTAGGGGATCCTCATAATGATGCAAATGCTGTTGGAACTGATGCATTCAGGACACTTTTTGTTGGAAGAATTGTAAGTAATGTGTCTAGCAGTTTTATCTCGATATATTAGATTTAAACATGGAGGGAGAAAATTATGTAAGCATACCAAACTTGCACGTATTTCTAGCAATATGAAACTATCAGGCTTTGGACAAAACTAGTTTTGTATACATCAAGTGGCTAACAGAGCAAGACAGAAAAAGAGTGCAAAGGTGTAAGCTTGTCTTTTTCATTGTCTCCCTTTGGCAACCTGAAATTGTTAAATTGTGACTAGCAATAATTGAAGACTGGCCTCTAAAAATGACACTTTGTGTAACATGACTGAAGATGATACACTTGGCTAGTTTTTTAAAGGAGGATGGTTGTCAATGTTTCATTTATTGAAATCATTTTGGAGGTTCACATAACATCTCAAAGCTTAAATCTTCTGACAAATATGCTGAAAAAGGGAAGAATTATCTGCTTAAATGACTTTTCAAATAAATTTTTATTGGTCTTTAACTTCAGACCATAGACACTAAATACATTTGGTGGCTCAGAGGGATATCAAACCAATATTTTCATTTGAATTTTGTCCTACTGTAGAACTTTGACACCTCTGAATCTAAACTGAGAAGAGAGATGGAGCTGTATGGGCCGATCAAAAGAGTGAGTGATTTACTTTTGATGAATTATGTTGCTTTGCAGTACATTTAATTATTTATTTGTATGTTTGATGCAGCAGTATTTAAAGATGCTGTTGTCTCAATAATATGGCATGGAAACATTGGTGTAAACAAACCAATGGCAAATCTTAAAGTAGCTTGTGTCAATTTTTTTAATACCCATCAGAAGATATCATTCTAAAGCACTTGTTCACAGCTTATTCTTTCCAATATCCTGTTTTTTTTTTTTTTTTTTTTTTTTCATGATTAACACTTGATATATTGCTTGTTATTTTGGCAAGGAAATTATATAATACAATTTTATAGTAATGAAAGACAATATTATTATGTACTGAAAGGTCCTTGTAGCTCTCTCAAGGTGAACTTAAATGGCATTTATCTGACTATGATAAGTGCACAAAATTTGCAATTTTCTTGAATTCTTAGTTTTAGGCACAAATCCCTGATTTTCCTTTAAAAGTGTAACTGATTCAACCATTTTATTCCCTTGAGTGACCAAGACATAATTTTTCCTTCCAATATCAATTTGACACTAAGCTTAATTTCCCTAGACAACAGTTTCATACAGACTTCTTAATGGCAGAGATATCATTTAGATGACATTTGGAGCACATTTCTTGTTTAAAGTTTCAAAGAATTAAATGTGTGGCTCTCTACTCTATTGTAGATCATTTACCTCTGCAGTTGATAAGTCTGAAGTCATTCATGCTAGTCCAATTCAGATATTTTATTACTCTATTCATTTGCAGATTCACTTGGTGCACAATACAACAAATGACAAGCCTCGAGGTTATGCCTTTATTGAGTATGAACATGAACGAGACATGCACGGTGAGTATTGCACAATTTTTTGTCAATGTAGACCTTCAATATTACCACTTATATCTGTCCTACTTTACTTCAATATACATGTATGTTGTAATTTGAAAAGAATTTAAGTCAAAGTGACATAAACCTAGTTTAATTTTTACTTTTCTAGAAAAAACACAAATCAACTAGTTTAAAAAAAAACATTTTGAACTGAATTCTATTTCAACTTACAACATGTACATGGTTTTCAATAATTCACTATTTTTCCTAAAATTTCCTTGATGTGCTTTGAAAGCAAGGTTGAGGGAATTGAATATGTTTAAACTTATAATTTTTTTCATCTAGAGACTCCCACATGTGTATTTTGTGGTTTGAATTTTTCAATCAAGTTGATTTCAACTCCTTTGTTTCCTTTTCATTATCATGGCTCCATAAGACTTTGAAAACCACAAAATGCAAATGTATTACTATTTGATAGTTACCAAGTTCATAATTTTATTATTAAGATTAAAGGTAGCATTTATTCTTACTCCCGTAAGTATGATAGAGAAGTTTACTGCAAGCAGCTGTGAGAGGTACAAACAAGGCTTATGGGTAATGGTGTTCAGTAGTTTAACTTATACATATTCTTTGGTGTACATAATTATAGGCATTTACGATAAAACTACACATGACATGGTAAAGGGTTGATCTGTGCAATTCAGAATTTATTTTTGACAAACACACTTCGAGTGGTCTTGTTTACTAGTAATGCTAAATTTACCAGTATTGCAAAACCAAAGGTTGTATTTCTTGCGCTTTGGAATAAACACTGGTGGAAAAAGAATCTGTGAAAAATTGGTAAAAAAGGAAATGAAGATAAAGAGAGTGCTTCTAGAAAAGCTTTGATCAAGCTGCCTTTGAAACATCAACAGACTAGTCTCTTTTTAAGACTGGTCGATGTTTTTCACTTTTGTGATTCTTCAAAGTCAACAAATTAAGCTTGTTTTTAGTAGATTTGGACCCAATTTTAGCTTAAGAGGAAGGGAAGGAACATTTGTTTGAATTCTTTACTAAGTTTCCCTATTTTGATCGAATCTTGCAGTGAATACTGTATCACTCACCATCACATGAAACTGAGAGTTATCTTTGATGGGCCAGTACTTGGTTTACTTTTCCAATTACTCTTGTACTCTCCTGAAAGATAATCAGGTAAAAAATGGTGGGTATAGGTTTCTGGCAGGTAAAACTGAGTTGACCCTCACTGTTTTCAGTCCAAAAGAAAGAGAAGAAATCCATGCAAATGCTAAAGGGAAAGGTTTTGTTGTTGGTTGTGGAAAATTGAATTGAAAATTAGATTTGCAAAGGGCGAAAATGCAATGAAATTATCTGTTGTAAGCCAAATTCTTTTTGAGAACCAAGTTTTGTCATCAGTGAATTTTGAGGTAATATTGATTTACAGATTTGTGTGCTGTTTAAGGATTTTGAAGTATTTTTGATCCCAAAAAATGCACAAAAGGAGTGAAATTTGGCTCAAAAAGTGATTTCATCCTTTGCTTTCAATATTTTTTGCTATCAAAGCAGCATCCTAATTACATTCTGTTTGCAATGAACTGGAATTGGTTTTTAAAAGAATAAGAGAAGAAATCTTTTCTGGCCTGACATGAATTTCCTGCATCAAAATGCAAATGGTTGTCTACCATACTGGAAAAGGGGTAAACAGTCTTTGATAAAATACAACTAAAATTAGTGTGTATGGGAAAGAAGGGTGGCTAAACTTCCATATTAAAATAATAATTTCTCGGGTGAGTATAGCCAAGGGAAGCCAATTTGCTATTTCTTTCTGTGTCTTAAACTAGGTAAGAATGGATTTGCAATTGCATTTCTGACCAGTTATTGAAACACTTCTGGACAATGGTAAATACGTTTACCAGTGTTCAGTTCATTACAAGTGTTTCCCTAGCTTCATGGAGATCGAAGAAACCATTCATTCTTAATGAAATAAATTTTAGTTTTTGACATTAATAGGATTGTTGAAATCTTATTGCATTATGTGTGTAATAGTTTGTTGCCTCAACTTGGTAATTCAGGATAAGCGCAACTCTAAGTGGAAGTAAGATCCAAAACATTTTAGAGGGTAGGGTGGGACAGGGTATGATGTTAGATTGGCTTCCTTTGGTGAAGTCACTGGTTGTGATGGTAATGAACTACAGTGACACATACACAAAGTACTGGAGAGCAATGACTGTCAACACTCTTTGCCGAGTAATGTTGGTTCCGTAAGGACCTGGCAGGAGTGTGAGTATAATTACACTTCATCTTTTTTTATACCCCTAAATCCCATTTGATTTTATTTTTGCATCTATCCAACCAAAATAAGAGCACTCTTCTATTGGGGAAAATTTTGTTGGAAGACAAATTGTTTTCTTTTTTTAATGTCAGAAACTATTGGGAAACCAATTCTTGTGGTGTTTTATGATGTGAAGCTGGTATACAGTTACTTTTCTTGTAAATACCAGTTTCAGCATTGTTGTGGGTGACCTTTGATTAAGATTTCTCTTGAAATGTTAAAAGGCTACAAAGAAACTTTACTTTGAAAATGAGAAGAGTTGGTCCAATCCTATTCTTGCCATGTAATTTTCAAGTGCAAGGGGAAGCCAGGAAGTAGTTCAAAGAGTGTTAAAATTGCGTGCTGGCATGTTTTGGCTGTTCCATTGATGACTAGCTCTGCTCATTTCCTTAACACATACAGTGACCCATCATCAGCTGATAGCAATACAGATGGACCATATTTTCATGCAGTCAACCCCTGGTTATACACACCATTCTGTGGTCCTTATTTTGATACAATTTCACTGATGAAGTAACCAGTTTTATTCAATACATGCAAAGCAAGAATTCTACAGCTTTTTTCCCAGTCAAAGTGCTACACTACTTCACGCAGAGAAGTGAAAACCTTTCTCTCCTTAAAACAGCATCTGATCTTCGTTATAATCAAGAAATTATCTCTTTGAACAAGTTTCTGAATTTTTATAAGTTTGAAATTGTCTATACCTCTCTGTTGGATCACCATGGTCGCGGCATTTGTGTAACTAAGGGTCGACTGTTTACTAAACATCAATGCCTTCGCTACTCCAAAGTTACCGAGTATAAAAACAGGCTAAAATTATCCATATCATCCAGGTTACTCAAACTCTATGGGTAAAAATGACAAACAGTTTCTTACAAAAACCTGTTGCTTATCTGTGAGCCAAAAGTTGACTGTAAGGTAGTGGAGGGAAGCTGTTCTTAGTTATTACAGTCATCCATTTTTTTGTTTTTGGCATCTGAAGGGTAAAAAGTATAATTATGGTTTAAGACTTAAGGGGCTGACAGACAGTATTTAGTGAATTTTAGTTTCAAAGATAGTATGTGCACCAAGTATCAGAAAACTTCCAGTGACAGTGTGTTCAAAAGTGAGGACATAGACATAGTTTCTAAATCATATACAGAAAGGTTTGTGATGACGGCCTGTTAGAATGGAATTCTCTATGGCTTGCGGGTAGGCCCTCGTAATTTTCGTCGCTGAACGCGCGTTTTTTCGCCCGCGGAAAACTTGAGACGAGTCGGGAGTCTGGCGCTAGTTATCAGTGTAAGACCGCTTGCAGATCTCTCGCCGGCTCGCGTTGATCAAGGCTTCCTACTTTCTCGCAAGCGAAGAAACACCCGTGCTGAAGCGCTAATGACGAGGGCCTACTCTTCGGCTAACTTCTTGATTATTGTCTTTGCTGTTGAGTATGAATTGAGTTCAGGTAAGTACGTCCTGTCGAAGGAGACTCTTCATTGTGCGGTGAGCATCACTAACATTTGCACCTTTGTTTTGGTTCTGTTGCAGCTGCTTACAAGCACGCGGATGGAAAGAAGATCGACGGTCGGAGGATCGTGGTAGATGTGGAGAGAGGTCGCACAGTCAAAACATGGAAACCAAGAAGGCTTGGTAAGTCACCACTTCCAGTCTTGCATGCATCAGTATGAATATTCTCCACATTATTCCGTATACTTGTTCTACTGTATTGACAAGGAGAACATGGTTAACAATCCAAGTTTTCCCTAGGTGGCGATCATTTCTTTTATTCTCATAACCTAGATGGTTGGTTCCGCGAAGGTGTTGTAAGGAGAAGTTAGGGCAAGTCATTTTCAGAAGATAAAGGGTTAGACGGCTGCAAGCTAAGCTGCCTTTCCTATGATTTTAACCAGGCTCCAGTGCCGTTTATCAGCAGCTGCCTTTCCTTTGATCCCAATGGACAAGCTCAAATAATGACTTTGTCTGCTTGTTTATTTATCAGTAACACAATGATAGCCTATGACGAAACTTTGTTTTCATTTGTTATAAAGACATCCGTGTTTCGGTTGATATTGAGATAGCAGCAGATTAGGTTAATAAGACCCTTTGTAGACTAGTACCTGTTAAGAACGTTTAGACCTGGGAGACTTAGTCTTAACGTTAGTTCCAAGGTCTCAGCTTTCTGTTTTTCTTAACTTTTGAAATAACCGTCACATCATACACCTTTTTTAAAGAGGTTCCTGCTCATCATTGGCCGTGCTCTTATCCCAGTTCGGGCACAGAACTTGAAAAACTTTTTGTGCAGCAGTTATTAAAATGAATTATTACCCTGGCTTAATCGGGCTCCATTTCCGCAGTTTCCTCGGGTCCGATCTCCGAGGAGCGCGGTTACATTACTGAACAACGGCTACTAATCGGGCCCAGGCCTATCTCTGAGTGCTCAGTTTTCAGCGCCATGATCTTTGTCAATTGCAATATTTGCATTCACCTTTTAAGTGAGATAGCTCTGATACTGAAAGGCATCTTTTCGTCCGTAGGTGGAGGACTTGGAGGAACTCGTATCGGTGGGCCAGACGAGAATGTAAAACACTCTGGACGTGTGGAGAATACAGAAAGATACGAGTAATGAATTTTACATATTGGCACAAATCAGATACTTCTACCGCGAGCCTTTTCCTTTGAATTTGTAAACGTATTCTTTTGCCTTATTGGAGTTCATATTCGGCACAGTTGCCACAATAGGTGAAAATCATAAAGATGCATATGTGGGAAAGTAATATTGACTGAAGAAAGATTTTCTGCAGTCACAAACACCGCATTGAAATAGTAGCAAACAACCCTCACATCTTTCCTTTCTTGCAGTCATCTTTTACGAATATTGTAACAGTGACATAATGGCCAGCTCACAGTGTTGGCTTAAACTGTGATGATCTTTCTTTAGTTCAAAGAGTTCTGATAATGTCATTAGGCGAGAAAAACGATGAGAACTTGTAAGCAACGTGCACTGTTCCATTTATTTGACTCGACTCATTTACTTTGCAGGGACCGTGAACGCGGCGAAAGGGACAGAGGAGGAGGAGGAGGAGGAGAACGTGAGAGGGAACGAGATCGCGAGCGCTATAGGGACCGTGAGCGTGACAAAGATCGTGAGCGTTACAGGGACCGTGACCGAGATCGCGAAAGAGACCGTGATCGTGATCGTGACCGCGAAAAGGAACGTCGAAAGCACCGAAGTAGGTCACGTGAGAAAGAGCGTGATAAAGATCGTGATCGTGATCGAGACCGGTAAGGGAGAACCTTTCATTTTGTACTTCAATGGGTAAATATTCTTGTTTCCCTCACCTTTTCTGTTTATAACGCTGGTTTTAAACTATGTAACGCTCTTTTATCGTAGGGACAGGGAAAGGCGGCGTGATCGTGACCGTGATAGAGACCGTGATCGCGATCGTGATAGGGAAAGGGAGCGCGATAAAGACCGTGACCGTGATCGTGACGGAGAGCGAATCAAGGAAGAACCGAATGGTGAATACCCACAGTATGACAACGACAACCAGATCGACAACAACAACTTGGATATGGTAGATTAACACGGGTAATTTTTCATTTTACTGCTCATAAAATTTGAACCCTTAGCCTCTCTGTAACTTGGATTCTAATAACTATAATGTTAAATGATTTCCTAACATTCGGCTCCTCGAGGTAAGAAAATATACTCGGTTTTAAATTTTGTTGGTCGGTTTTAACTATGAAGTGGAGTGCGACGTGAATTCCTGTTCTCTTAATAAATTTTTTCTCAAAATATGTTTTTTGCTGTCAGGTGAAGTTGTAAAAGTCCATCATCACCTCTTCACTGACTGACTTAAAGGGAGGCGTGATAAAAAGCTGAAATGAAGAAAACTGATTCGTTGTGTATTGTAGAAATCGTTTTAGGTTTAATTCAATCCATCTCTAGGAGTATTTCGTCACTTTCCTAGTTTCTGAGTATGCCTTGGCTGGTCATACAACTGTCACTCTTAACCCTTTACACACTAACATCAATATGCATAATCTCTAAACATTTCCTAAGATGCTGACATGGAGAATTTGTCCAGCAGTCAAGAGCTTCTTTAGTCGGTGGTTA